TCTATTGCGTACAAACGGCCTCAGGTTGTTACACATAATAGTTTACATATAATTTAAGTTGAAAGTTATGTTCCCGGAGAGTGACATACGGCGGTAGAGAGAACGCACTGACCTAATCCTATTATAGTGAATGACCCAATACTGAGAGTGGCATATGGGGAGCCATCTCAAGCGTTTTCAGCAGAAGTACGTGACAAATTTAGATTAACCGTAATTGTCAAATAGTGTGTTAATCCATAAACAAATCAATGACTTGCGGTATTTCCAAATTTAATCCTTAAAAATCGTAATGTAGGACAATTAAAAGCATTTGTAATACAAGTGATAAAAATGCTACCTGAAATTTTCACCTAAAGCCTTTTTGGTTGCTAACCAGTTATTTTTCTTTTTGATTTTTTGGCCACTCGGCGCAACCCATGATTTCTTCCCCTTCTATCAGTGGCATCAAACAGACGTTTTTCAGTCAACTCGATTGGGCTTGCAGCTCGGCGGTGAAATATTGGCAGCCGAAAAAACAATTCGCAAAACGCGAGTAATTAAGTCGCATTATAATATCTTCTGCTGATAACGAAAAAAAAAAAACAGCCTGTGCAAGTTGAGAGTGCAGAGCGTTCATCAGTAACTATTAAACGATGTATTCTAAAATATATTCCTAGACTCTTAAGGGAATTATCTGCTTTCGTATCTGCACATCGGTAACATTCAAAAGATTCAGAAGAACTTCATTTATAATAGACCTTTAGCAATATTATGCACGTCCAGAACAGTGAGTCCATGATATGACTTAAAATTAAACATAATATCGTTTGGAATAATACAGATCTAATTCGATTGGATGGAAAGATCCATATCATGAATCGGAAATATTACAAATAATGTAGAATAAATTCATTATTTAATAAGCTCATACGTTTACGATTTATCGTTGAAAAACTCACCAAAACTTAAATTGAAGCTTTTTTGCATTCTAGTCAAATTTCAGGAGTTGATGCATATACGTAGGTTAGCTGCCATAACATGCCCACTTAAACTTAAAAGCTGTTTGAAAGAAAGGGTTGCTTGCTTTTTGTGCACCATTGAAGTTATAGAAGCAGAGGCTAGATAATGTCGTGGTGCATATGTCGCCGCGATTATTACGTGACAACCACTGCATAAGAACCTTACGTGATCGTATAGTTTTAGTAATGCACCCTGCACTTTGAGGATAAAAACAATAAACTAGTGATTTCTGGTGGTAAACTTATAACCTTTACACAGTGTACATATATATAGGACTTCCTTATTCGGCTCTCACTGCTTGACTAACTCTTATCCAAAAATTCTACCTAACGACACCCCTTCTCCAATCGATCCATTTGATTAGTTCATTGACAAAAATACTTTCAAAACAAATGAAGAAAATTAAAGATGCGCCCAGAAATTCCAGAGTAGCAAAGATACATAAAAATTCAAATAAACAAATTATTACTATACGGTATGACAATATTAACATTTCCCCCACCAGCGGATACTTATATAAACTTAAAATAAAAGAATTATCTCGCTTCGCAGCCTAAGTGCATCATTTCGATAATTGTTTAGCGAATTCGGATTACCTAATCATCCTACATTACAATTAACAGTTATATATACAAGCAAGCGGTTCCTATTAATTAAATTGAGTAAAGTTATACCACGTTTTTGACAAAGTATTCAGACAAGTTTTAAGTAAAAAGTTATCCAGCGACCCGAATGAAATCTCAACCTAGACGTGTGATAGTTTAGTTACCCTGAATACATTAACGTGTATCGCTGTTATCAAATCATGTGAATCATAAATGTTTTCACAGGAAATGTTTCATGACTATATATATATAGATAGTATTTAAACTTCATAGTGTCCAATTTTGTATATGCAATCTACATGTTCAAGACAAGTCAGAAAATTACCCTGTTAACTTATAGGAGCTCAATTCGGCCTATTGCTGATACATAATTCTTTAATTTACGCTACCGTAAATTTAACATAGATACATAATTCTTGAATTTAAGCTACCGTACCAGGTAAGATACGCGACTACAGCAAGTTTCAACATAAATAAAATTGCACATGCATCAAGTGAACTTATACCTAAAACCAATGTTCACAGCATTTTAAACACCCGATATAGCAATACATTCAATTTATACATCTACTCCATTCCCAGATACAAAGCATAATCATTTCATAATCTTAGTAATAGTAATAATCATAATAATCAATAATAATCATAATCTTAGTGCAAGTTTTATACTCCAGAACTCTCGGTTGAACATGAGGATAGTTCTCTGCCCTGCCTTTATAGAACGTGTAATTATCTGCTCTGGCGCAGGTGTGTTAATCACAGGTAATTCGGTAGCAACATCTAACTTCTCCGGTTCTAACAAATCGTATCTATTCAGTCCACTCCCACTGCCCATATACATCCTATCCCAAATTTCACGCAAGACTTTACTATTAATTTACTACCCCGGAGCTATATTTCGAGATTGCGCTGTCTGTCCTGTTCATTATATTCAGTACAATTCTTTGCAGAGGCGCGTTCCTAGATTTTCCCGATTTCCTAGACACCTCTATTGCTAACTTCATCACTATAAATAATATATAATCAATTGAGGAGAATTGATCTGCACCGATTCCTCTTCGTGAACTCTGTCCATGGCCAATTTTTTATTCACAGCATCATCAATTCGTTATTACTGAATCCTAAATGACTGTTCTACCCGACAAAAAAAAAAGAATTATTCCTGTCTCCGATCATCAATGGATTATTAGTGATCTGATCGAGAAAGGGATTCCTATTTCTGACGTTCTACACTATCTTGTTTAGTCGGAGTCGATGATTTTCCGACCCTGCATTGCGTGTTCATTTTATGACGTTGCTGCATCTACTGTTGCGCCTTTGTCTTCGCTACCTCTTCTTGTACTCGTATTGCTGCCAGATCTGCTACCACCATAAATCCTACTGTCATCACTACTGTCGCTGGCATCACTGCTACTACTACCACTATACTGCCACTGAAAAATGAAATTCCAACACCTCCAAAACTGTCTCCACTTCCGTCCATCCAACTGTCTTCTCCGTTCCCTAAGGAAAGTCGTGATTGTGGGTCTCCTGTTAACTCTAAATACCCATGTAAATATCTTGGAAAATCGTTCCATTCATCAAGCTGTTTATAGTGAACCGTGTGAATTTTCCCGCTATTACCCCCAATTTCATACGTAACCCCATTAGTGTACTTTCGTTACCTGGAATGGTCCTTCGAATTTCGGCGATAATCATCTATGCCAAGATTCCCGGCTATTAATTTTGTACGCTTCCTTCTGCCTATACCTTGAATGAACTAAACTTTACATGCCCTTATCTCCACGAATTAACAATTTCTACTTTCACAGGCACTGCGCTAGTGCTACCATGGTTCTTTTTAAGGATACAACGAAAACTAAGCACTCGGGGGGCTATAGATGACAACGAAACAATGTTTAGTTTCCTAAATGTATCTTTTCTTCATTATTTCAGTTAACTGCAACTTCTTTAATGCGAGGAATTTAAAAGCAAAGAAAACGCCAAGAAAATTCACCATATCGATATTGAAATATTTTCAGAGTCCAGCTCCATCACCAGTTCGACTAAACTAAAAATGAATAAATAAAATCTTGTGAACTTGAGATATAAACAGACTGATAATATAAGTATTTATTAATGCATAGGCGTGTACGTGAAGCCTGGCAGGGCTGCGTGAACGGTAATTGGTCCGGGTAGCTCCCGACCTAAGCACGACGTGGCAAATCTGCAGCCGTTAGACCCAGCAGTTTCGTTCAGATGTCTTGTAAAAGAATGTAACTTGTGCAATCGGCTGAAGCAGGCAAGGGGTCCAACTGAAGGAGCCCAGGAGATCATGCAGACGTGGAGAGCTTAGCACCTCATGACTACCATCCACATCCGACAAGGAAGCAGCATCTAAACTCCGGTTATAGCGTCTTGAGAGAGATACCCTGACAATAAATTGAGAGCCGCAGGATGGCTTGTCACGGGATGAGGTGCTGGAGGAGACAGATGATCGTTAGCAGAGTGACTTAAGAAGTTTAGTTTCGTGCAAAGGGAACCCCGCCGTTCAAAAGGAACCCCGAAACGCAAGCCTCCTTTAATACCTCAAAATCGCGCTAGAGTGGTGCCAGGCAATCAAAGTAGTCAAACTGTAACTAATGAAATTTATGGTAGTCCGAAAATTATAGTTCTAAGTCTAGTTTTTGCTTAGGCTAGTAACAAAGTCTACGAAATTTCTAAGATTAAGGAGAACCTCAAGCCTATAATATTTTCGACAGGATATGTTGAGCCAGACTACACCCTATCTATGAATGGTGCGCGTTGTTAGACGTTGTCAAAGCTCTACTAATTTCAACATCCCACTGTAATGGATTATCTGCGGTCAAACCATTCAAAAATTGAATAATTTTCAGCGTACAGCGCTGAACGCAGCCAGTAGATGCAGCCCTGTAGCGAGTTGAATAAACGTGCGCAATAAAAAAGGTATCTCCTTATGCGTTGAATTCTGCAGCGCTGAATTCCGGTCCATTATCGGTCAAAATTTGATTAGGTATTCTAATCATGCTAGACAATACGATATTTTTGAACGCATCTGATACAGTGCTAGCCATTTTGTTATTCGAAAGGTGCAGCTATTAAAAATTTAGAACCGTAATTGATAGCCAGAAGCGGAATAATGTTACCCTTAATTGAATGGAGAAACTGGAGCAGGTCTGATGCTACGATACCAAATGGATGAGTAGATTGAGTTTTAAGAACAGGTGTGGAGTTCTAAGTTGCCTTCAAGATTCAAATAGCTGACAATGTGGGCAGCTTGCACATATATCACGTACATTAGCACAAACAGTCGGATGCCAGAAATGTGCTACAATTACAATATTTTGAATACCTATATGTGCTAGGTGATTATGAAGCTTGAATACTATATCTACCATGAGCATAGACCGAAAGCAGGTGCACAAGATTGTTCTTCCTTACCACAATTCCGGATCACAGTGACCAACTCCCGAGTTACCGCCTAAATTAAAAAAAAAAACAATTTTGATTCCAAATTTGCTTCTTCTGGGATCTTATGGCAAAATCTTTGTTCTGCATACAATGAACATTACCACGCGAAAAGATGAAATGTACAGCCATTTCATGTTCGCCATTTGAGCTGGCGTCATCACTAGAATGTTCTGGGCTGTAATAATTGTCCGACATTATCGAATATGCAAGCGCCAAAGCTGGCGAATCCTACGGTTGAAATTAACAATGAATTTCGACAATTCAAATTATTTTATTCCAAATCAAGAAATTCAATTTTAACAAACAACAAGGCACATTACCATCGTTCAAATAATAAACTGTACCTTTTCATTCATGTCAACTCTGTTACTTGCACACTAACTTAACTGCTCCTCTTAATTCTGTCTTCGTCGAACTCTACCCATAATTATTTCTGCCAAAAACTTTGCTAAACACTGCCCTCATAGTGAAACTTGCGAGCCAGTTTCAATCAATGCACATATTTTGCCATTTCTTCTAATATGCAGCTAATACCTACTGACGAGTTGTCCTTGTTGAGGAAACGTCATCAGTAGCTGGTTCGCCGTTAATGGTAGATACTACTTCTCGTCTGGTAGGTTTCTGGGTGACATCGTGCATAAGATACACAATTTACTAGTATATTAAATAAACTAGCTTAATTTTCACTGTTCCTTTACCACGTTTAGTGGTGATTATACGTTGACTTCAGTAACGATAAAGCTAGTGCACAAGTTGTCGGTTAAGTACCTAGGAACAGGACAGTCTAGGGTTTCACACATTCGCCGATAAACGTGACAATAAAATACGTTAAAAAAAATTAGCGAAAAAAGAATCAGAAGCGTGAACAACAACAAGACGCCTGTCGAGAAAGAGAACCTGACATCGCGAACCTTTCCATTGCAGAAGAAAACTTCGTTAGTTCCTACAATGAAGCAACACACGGTCCGCTTAAGAGAGGCAAGGTGAAGTGGTTCAACGTTGCGAAGGGATGGGGCTTCATCACCCCCAACGATGGCAGCCCGGACGTGTTCGTTCATCAGTCGACCATTCAGATGCCGGGCTTCAGAAGACTTTGTGAGAACGAGGAGGTGGAGTTCACCGTGAGGGAGGGCAAGCGCGGCCTCGAGACCACGCTGGTGCAGGGGCTAGAGGGCGCCAAGTGCCTCGGTTCGCAGACCGAACCATCAACTTCATTCAGACCACGTAGACGCAAGTGCTACAATTGCCAAAACTTCAGGCACTTCGCCCGCGACTGCTCCGAGTCGCGTCAGCCCAAGCGCTGCCGTGCACCACTGCAATGCCGACGTCCATCTCGTCACAGACTGTCATTTGCTCCCGGAAAGTGTTGCCCGTTCCAACGCCAGCAGTGATGCCAGGAACTCTTCTCAGTACTTGGAGCTTGAAAGTTGGAGTTACGCATGTTGGGGCATGACTGTAGATTCATACATCTGTGCTTCCTCTAAATTCAGTGATTTTTCTATTTCCACTTCAGTGTAAGCGACATTTTTACGTTCGTTTCTTGTGTGTGTCGTATTTTCTCATGTTAAATTGGCGCGCTGTATACCGCAGAGTCAAACTTTTTCAATTTTAGGATTTCATTGGTTAAGATTGGGAAAGTTTCACTGGTTTGTAAGTATTCACGGTTTCTCATATTCAAATGTTCCTCAGAAAATGAGCACTGACGTTTTACGAGAACCATTCGCTATGTTGCTTAGTGGGTCCCTTGCATCACTTATAACAGCTCTTCAATTATTAAAATTATTTAAAACGTTCAAGTAAAATCGTAAGCATACGAGTTAACAATAAGAGTAAAAGTCCTGCGCCTGGGTGGTAGTGGTGAAAATTTTGAAATTAATAACAAATGGCGGCAGAAGTAAAGAATGGAAATGATGTTTAATTACAAGATGTGAAATTCACTGCCATAAATGTTGGTCGAGCTCAATGTGCGAGATATTGAAAGCTTTTCTTTTTAATTGGATAACACGTAAATTAGGATTGTAGTAACCGAGGTCATAATCATGCAGTTTCGTATCTAGTTTGCAGCAGCTAATTCATTATTTACAAATCATTATCAGAAGTTTAACTTCAACGACCAAAGAATAAATTTACAACTGAAATTATCAGTTTCAATCCTCTGCGAAGTCAACTCTAGGTGATCTGATACATAACTTAATAATATACGTTTGTTTTATCTGACCAAAATATCTTTTACATTGAGAGTAATGCACGAGCTTGGTTTAAGGGGCAAGATTGGTTTTAGGCGTTTCATCATCAATTTATTTAGCTGCTATCATGAAGCGCATGGCATATATAGGTAAACATCAGTCAGTTAAAGGTTTCGCTAAGCTAGACGTCCTACCGAAATTTTAGAAATCTACCGAAATCAACTACCCATAAAAACTTCCTTAATTCTGTTATATTCGTCAGTCTAGGGAATTTTTACGAATTTTGTTAGTTATTCTGGCGCCTCCTCATTCCCCTCTTACACACATGAGGTGACGAGAGGGGAACTAACCTCATTCCTGTTTAGCACCTCTTCTACTTGCCTGAATGCTCCTCGAAAGTTTTGCCAAGTATCAATATGTCATCCATAAAACCCGACACGTTATTACAACAAACTTCTCCTAAATTAACTGCATATTTTTCTGAAACGCTATCCCGTTATTTACGAGACCGAATGATGTGGTTTTGAACTGAAAGGGGGGCTGCGCGGGGTGCTAAATGCAGTGTATTTTGGACTGCTATTATCCAAGGGTACCTGGTAATAAAATTACCATTAATGAGATCTAATATGATAAATAACTATTATTACGAGTAAGGTAATACTTGTTCTGCTAGATCTGGCATTGAAGATTACACTGTAATGGTACTTTCGTAAAGCTTCCTATAATCTATGCACATCCTAATTTCTTCATCTACACTACCATGGCTTGGCTTCTTCAAAACTGGCACTACGGGACTACTCAATGGCGAGTCACTATTCTCTATTTTAGATTAATCTAACAACCCTATACGCCTATACATTTCTCTATCAACTGGGTATGAAAGTTTCTTGGTCTCTATCAATGTAGTGAATCATCGTTCAATTTTATTCTATGCGGAATTACTTTAGCCCATATTTACATCGCTCATGCTTCATGCAGCTAGGGTTTTGGCCAACAGACGAAAAACGGCAGAGCTTTTGATCCCCATAGACGTTATCTTCTAGCTTAATTTCATCGCGTATCTTCTGACCACATAACTAAAGGTTCTTCTCCTGGCTCTGCTTCTACAATAACGTGCTAACAAATGCTAGCCTCTCCCCCTTCTCCCCCTGGACGACTCACCTTTCTTAAATTGTACAGCTACTCTATCTTTTGACTCATTCTATTACGCCTCTATAACGCATTTCAATTCAGAACTCCCAGATTTTCCTTCACAGTAATATGCATCATTTACTTGTTCGCTACCACATGAAAAAATAGACAAACGGGCACAAAATACACTTCAGAGCATCTCAATTCGGTATTCTTAGCAGCCACAACTCGCACATTATCATGCAAGACAAGAATGAAGAGATATACGAAGAAATACTGCCGCATTCCTATCCGCTCTCGGAACAAGGCGTTTACACATGTAACTTGGAGTTTAAAAGCAAAGATAACGCCACGCATATTCAGCATATTGATACCGGCAAGGTTTCGGAGTCCAGCTCCATCATCAGTTCGACATGCTAAGACGAATACAATCATTTGTAACTCAAAATTCTAAGTCAGACATAAACCTATAATAGACGTAACATGACATCGAAAAACATAACACGCGGAGCACTGAGCCATAGGCGACACGGAAATAAAACTTGTGAAAAACACTAAAACATGAAAGCCTAGTTATTCACTATTTCAAGAGTGATATGAATCATCATTGAATGAATTATGGAATAATTTGTCATTATAGAAACTACTCTCGCTTGAAAATGTGTAGAGACTTCAAAATCCTCAACTCCGAACAGCCAAAAGTGGACCAAAATTCCATGAAATCACTCTCAGATACAGCCACGTTGCACTGCTAGGGTGGGATACGCACGGAAGAATGAGTAGGTTTGCAGAGAAGCAAGGTCGAACGATAGTTCCTGCCGCGGTGTTCAGAAACCCGGATGTAGAAGTTACGCGACGTCATTCCCCCGCTTTCATGAATTTTCGTGGTTGGCTGATTGTCACATTGATTTTAAACCGATTTTTAGCGCATTTTCTCATTTATGAAAAATGCACTATTTTGCTCGCCATGTCCATCTGTCCGTCCGTCCGTCTGTCTATCTGTCTGTCCGACCGTCCGTGACTTCACGTTTTCGTCGACTAGAAAATTCGCTCTCTGTCACTCACTGCAGCGAGTACTGAGTTATATTTTTTTATTATAGGTATATTGATGACACCTTTCTGATCTTCATGCATCCCTCTTATGCGGGCCTTTTCTTTGATTATCTAAACCTCTAACATTCTTCAATAAAATTCACTATGGAATTAGAATCAAACAATAGCTTGTCGTTTCTCTATTGTAAAGTTGCTAAATCTGGCGGTCGTTTTCAGACTTCCGTTAAGCGAAAACCGACATTTGCCGGCTTGGGTATGAGCTTCTTTAGCTTCTGCTCGTTTCGTTCCAAATTGACGTGTCTTCAAACTTTGATATACCGAGGCTATAGGGTTTGTTCTACCTTCCATGATATGCATTTGTAATTCGAATTTATTCGTAATATATTTCAGGTGAATGGTTTTCTATCATGCCTTCTGTTTGGTAAAATCAAACGCTTCTTATCTAACATATTTTCTGAAACTGTGACTTAATGCGCTGGTAAGAAAACTATTTATTGCGCATTGCCCTATTTTGGTAGTGCGTCTGAAACTATGTCCAGAGAACTAGAGATTTTGTTTATGAAATATCTCCCGAATATTAATTTGCATGTTTTGCTGGTAAATAATTTCAAAATCGGTTCTTTCTTCAGGTATAAAGACGTTATTCCTGCCCGGATGCAATCAAAACCTGGTCTATAAGTACAGTTGTGAGCGCTGCGCATCTACGTACGTTGGAATGACGTCGCGTAACTTCTACATCCGGATTTCCGAACAACGCGGCAGGAGCTATAGTTCGAACTTACCTCCTCATATTCTAATAATTTGTTATCTCGGCAAAAAAAGTGAGAAGAAATGAAATCATGATAAATTTTCCGTAAAAGTTATCGACGGGTAGGCTCTCACAGGAGAATCAGTTAACCATGCATGAGCTTGAGCAATCAGCAACTCTCCTTAATTCTTCTTCCATTACCTGCGCCGAGCGTTCATAATTTGCTTTGTAAACATAATTCTAGTTGAATTTTTAGTGCACGTCAATTAAGTCAAGCAAGTCCCATGCATAGACAGTTTGAAATAACGCAAAGAAACATAAAACAGGTTAGGGAGCTTTTTTGTTGCACCCAGACGATATAAAAGCAGCAGCAGCAACAGAGAAGGCTACTTTGTTCAGAGGGCTGAAGAGGAACCTACGAGTGGTGAAAATGTACATTGCTGTAGAATTTCCAAACGGTAGAATTTTAAAATACTGAAAAATTATACTGAATTTGGTAAAATCGTGCACATTGAAACATGCTTTAACTTTTTCAATTCGTCCTTATTTGGTCAATAAAGAACATATAGTGATAAATAGAATGTCTTTTTGTGCTCAACAATGTCAAATTTTTATTAAATAATCTAGGTTCCTGAACGACTTGCATTTAAAATACAAATATGGCTTGCGTTCAGAGTGTGTAAATCTACAGTTATAGGAATTTGCATTAAGTATTTAGCGGTGCTTAGAATGAATTTAAATCCCTAATTATCGAAGACGTTAACCGTGGGTAGAGATGGCGGCGTAAAAGCGAAGCGATAAAACGAGAAGAGTTACTTCCTACTTCTGTAAATGCTGATTTAACTGCCGTCTGCGCCGAAATTCCGTGCCGAAAAATTCATGAAATATGAATGTGCTTATTTCTTTATTTAATCTGTAAAAAAATAAAAAAAACTTGATGATATATGCTCGATTCTACTTGTATCATATGCTTATACGAGTGAATTAAGTGCGTTTTTTCTATGCACCTCTACACATCACTCACAATTGGTGCATAGACGCGGGAACCTGCCACATTACTTGCTTTACGTTCACCTGTATGGGAAGATCTCCATACTCCAGCTAGACCCTGGTTAGAGTAGAACTGAGGTAACTGGCGCTTTAATTATTATTAATATGGGAAAAACACCTTACAATTCGAAATTTACGATATTAAAATAAATATGTCGTTTAATTTAATCATTGCAATAACCTCGGCAGAGAGCTCTAGATTCACGAGAAAAAATAAGTTACATACATTATGAAGAGGCCGACCTTGTCTTGCGCATTGACGGGGCTGTGCCTCGTGCTGGGGGGGCTCGCCCAGGGCCCCACGATCGGGCCCTGCGGTGCCCCCAACACGACTGAGAACTTCAACGGCGCCTACATTAGTAAGGTGAGTAAAATTTTGTTGTTTTTTTAACTGCGAAATTTGACGTTCCTTCTTCCATATTGTCCTAAATTGATCAGACTCGCCTTTTGGGCATGAAAATAGAGCACTATTACAACTATTTATTTTCCCACATAAAATGCCGATATCGATGCTTATGCGTAGTTTCCTGCACTCGAAAATCGAGATCGCAGCGACAACTCAAACTGGGATTTTTATTGCTATATAGGTGATTTTGTCTTCATCAAATTTACGGTCTTATGCGAGAAGAACTAAAAATCTGGTTCATTATATGGCGTTCATGTGTGCTAGTGCAAATAATAATTGGAAGCCGTTCTAACGACTGACGGGCTTAATCATATCAAAGTACGCATCTGTTGTGTTAAAATTGAATTTGTTATAATGTTATTCATGATTTTTATCATAACTTTTCATTCAAATTTCCTCATACAGCTTGATGACGACGATTACCTGGTGTTGGTGTCGGATGGTCAGCTGTTATACGGAACGCAGTTGAAGTTTTTTCCAAATGGAACTTACATCCATACGTACATCGATCGGTGAGAGATTTGCATTATTATCTTTGATAATCTAATTTTGTAATGAGAGTAAAGCTATTCACTGGGTGATTTGAGTGAAACTAATGTAATTGAACATCAAACGATATACATCCATAAACTGCATTAAATAATTTATATGGTTTACAATTCACTATTTTCATTGTATGTGAAAGTAAACTTGAGATACAAATATGATGCTCACAGGGCGGGGCGGTCTGCTCAGCACACAGGAGAGTACCGCGCGCAGGCTCACGCTGCCTCTGCCCCAGCCACCATAACGCTGCACTCCCTCCCCGCTGCGGGTAAGACGAGAATGAATGCTATTATTTTATTTGCAAGAGTTTTATCTTTCATATTTATTCATTTTGAATTCTTTGGCATTGTCAATGCGCCAAAATACTCGATTGATTAGGTAGCTGGTGCTTGCCTACGCGTAAAGAAGAGACACTTTAATACCAATATTCTCTACGACTTTATCATGGTCACTTACGTTTTACGTGGGTCAAAGCAAAACACTGCTTGCATTTAAATTTTTAGCTGCTAAAATACCCAGACAAATCCTAACCTGAACAAAATTACTGTTACAAAAGACGGAGACAAGCGAGAAGGTTCGATTGTGCTCGCGTTACTGGATAAACATTATAGCTCTTTACTCAGTGTAAAGCTCTGTGTAAAACTCTTAGCAAAATTCTTAAGAGATACTCCGTAAAACATTATTTGTACTTATTTCAGTACCTGAAATGCGCTAAAGTGTTCGCGGATTTTCCCATGCTTTACGCTCCCGCGGATGCCAAGTTCATACTTATGCGGTATTTGTGTAATGTCCTACCTACATGATAAATCTGATGGTTCGTCGCCAACAAACTATGTTACACCTACACGCACTCTAGCTCCAGCCCTACACACAATTGATCCGTTGTTCCATAGTCTCTTAAAACCAGCGTTCATAATTATTTAACATCAAATCTTGATTAATATATTAATGTACCTACAAGCCACACTTTAAACTATATACCCCATACAGACAATCCGGCTCTTTGTTATCTTTTTCCGCTTTTAAAATTGTTTTTAGCAGAAGCGATGGAATATAAATTTTAGATATAGCCGTTAAAGGAAGAAGCTTTTAGTGACATTAACATTATTTGAACAGAATAAAAAATTTTCTCCGGGCTAAAATGTACTAATAATCCGAAGCAACTTATTAGTATCGCTCAATTCACTCATCTTCACAGCATTCGGAGGTGGATCTGGCTCTGTAACGTTCAGCGTTATAAAGGCCGAGGACGGAGCTCTCGAATTGATCTCCTGCATCAGTGAGGGCCTTCTGCACCGCGGTGAGTGATTATCACAAACATGCAAGTGACTATAACAATTTAAAGATTAATTAATTATTTTTTGTTTTTAATTGAAATTTGGAGTTACGTATTGGTTTGGAAAATAAATTTAAAATTAATGAAGAGACATTATAAGCAATAATTTAAGAAATGATATTTATGATAAGCAAGAGAGGTTACCAAATTATTCACATATTATTTTACAGAGAACCGACACGTTCTGATATCCACGACGCTGCTCCGCTCAATAATGAATGTGGGGCTCCGTGAGGTTTTGCGAACAGGAAGCGAGGTTACCGCGAGTCCAAGACAGAGCATTTTTGATTACATTTTGGGGGTACCAAAAGCCGTACTCAGTGCTAGCTTTGTGTGCCTGTACATATTGTTTGGTATGGGAATTGATCAATCGAAGACTTGTGTTTCATTTTTTACAAACTTTGCAAAATCGACGATCTTCCCACCATCGCCACAAGCATTGTTGTACTACACCGACCCGGCAGTTTCCCATTCAGTTCCCACATTATCGTTGCCGCATTACCCTGTACAGCATTCCGGTATAGTGCATCCCTCAACACATCATTATCACCTTAGCCCTTCACCCGCTCCAGAAGTAGTAAGTGTTCCATACTCCGCTCAACTTCCTGTGTACTTTGAGAATCATGCGCAAAATGCGCTCGCTAAAAGTCCCATAATTACAGGCAATCCATTTTTGGGGCAATACAACATTTTCTTCCATGGTTAAAAAATCTTTGTGCAAAAATAGTTAAACAGTGAACAGTGAATAGTTTTTGGGTTAATGGTTTGTTTTTTTAAAGGGTTTAGCATGTATACAGTGGTAGATAATGAGAAAGGGCATTAGCTTTAGGATTAGCCTATATACAGTTTAGACAATGAGAAGGTGTTTGTTATGGGTCATTTTACTTACCCTTTCCTCACCATGTTTCTGCATCCTCATGGTGAAATTAAAATTAAGGGGATAAATCGATTTTTGAATTTCCAAACTGGAGCAACGTTTCTCTGATCAACACCAGAAATATTCAACAAGAAAATAAAAATAATCAGATCAGATCTTGATGAATGATTCAAACCGAGCATTTAATCTGGTCCCTATTTAAAGGAAGCAATTTTCTTCGACATGTAACCTAAAACCAATAAGCTTTTAAGGAAAAGAGTTCTCTTAGCAGCAAACATTATGGAAGTCACTAAATGGAAGGTAGAACGTCTACTGCAGGAGCAGAAATAGTAGGTGAAGAGGAGCTATCATGCAGTTGGGTCTCAGAAGCCAATCCAGAACTGGATGAACCCAAAATGTTGAGAGAGTTGGATGACTATAGTGACAACCGTTCTTGTTCCAATATGAATGCCTAAATCTTGTGTTTAGCAGCATTAGCATAAACCTTATTAGCAAGATGGCGGAACGATAGCCATCAAAAGTTGCCCCAAAAAATTTCATTTCCACCATCAATTAAGTGTATCAGTTGGGAAGTTCTTCCGACGATATTCACTAAAAGATAATGATAAAAGTCACATAAAAACGTGAGGCCGGTCTTTGGACCGAATGCAGCCGCACTCCGCATTGAAATGAATTAGAACGATTGACCAGCCTATTATAGAACCTCAGGTCATTGACTGAGCCTTATGTACTGAACAGTCTACTGTGAAAAAGTAGATCTTGGCAAATTCGTTTCATCAGTGACCGTTAAGACCAAAATGGTTGGTTTTGTAACTGGTTTTCTCGGTGTTCTGTGCGAAGAATATTGAAGTTTTGTGCATCGGTCAACTGAGGTAAAATTTTACTGGATATTCACTAATCTTTCATGATTTTATTGGCCGATAGTCTGTAATTTAAACGTCTCGAACTAACTATTTATTTGTTTGTTCAGGTTCAGAGCATAATTTGCTTGAGCATCTTGCATAACTAATCGCACCGTCGCAATAAATGCATGGGCTTAATCATTTAAAAGTCCGAAAAAGTACCAAACACGGTCCCGGGACGAAAGAGGAATTGATAATATTCAGGAATGAGATTAAATAAATTTATGCGTATATTTTACACAGGATCCTGTGTAAACTGTACCTGTACTGAATTCTTACGTATTCTGCGGACGCCGGCGGCCACACATTAAGTCATTAACCAGTTCCCTAACCTGCTTTTCACAAAGTACAAAGCTTAATTTTACAGCTTCTTTCTATAGGATGCTCCGTGTCAATTTTTTAGGCGAGTCAATAACCCCATAACCGGTTCGGTTGAACTAGGAACGAGTATTGCAAATAATAGGTTGGTGAGGAGCTTTTTTTATCCTTTTCTGTAGGTATATATATATATATATATAGGCAGCAGCTGAAGTAAAAGAAGCAAGTTTGATCTGGTGATGAAGATCAAATAACAATGACCCACGAAATCTACTCATATTTTTTGCACGCATGTTCTTTTCCATACTGATTAAACACTTACTGTGCTAATTAATAATTAAATTCACTGATTGATTATATTATGCATATTAATTTTTTCCTGTGTAAAGAACAAAACAAACACAAAATATTAGTAGTGAAATCAGAAGTAATGTCGAATTTCGTGTAATTATATGCTGGGTATAGCGTATGAGTTGTGTTTTATACGTCTGGGGCCCATCTCGAAAACATGAACCCACGGGTCCCAAAAAGGCTATGGAAAGATCTTCCATCGTTCAATTACTTAAGCGAAAATGATAGAACCGAAGCCAAGAGTTGGTTTGGTTCAATTCTGGGGCTTTAAGAATGGGCAGGTGTCAATGCTTAATAATAATAAAATAATAAGTAATAAGATTCGGAATGGAAGAATGCTTACCACTACATACAATATTAAAATTTTAGGTGGAATAAAGTTTCGGTATATGAGGTAGGGAATTATAAATATTAACAAGCATCACCAAGTGTGCACCTCGATGATTATACCGAAAATGACAACATAGATAACTCTCTTTCACTCCCAAGATCACTCTAAGAAAGAAAGTTTACAGTATTATTATTACAGTTAAAATTTTACCAATAGCTTTGCTCCATGAATGTTAGTTTAGTCCTTTTTGCGTTGAATGAACGAAGTATTTTTTGAATTTGAGTGATTTCGTTGAATAAATAAATCGGTTTTTAGCAGATTTATCACTTAATCGCATCAGCAAGAAACTATAAAGATTGAATTATAATAGCAATCGAAGTAATTCAAGTAAAACAATAAAAAAGATTGAAGAACCATGAAGTTGCAAATGTTGTTTGGGGCATTGGCAGGGCTGTGCCTCGTGCTGAGGGGGGGGGGGGGCTTGCCCAGGGCCCCACGATCGGGCCCTGCGGTGCCCCCAAAACGACTGAGAACTTCAATGGCGTCTACATTAGTAAGGTGAGTAAAAATGCCAGTTGATAAATATCATAAGTCCGCTTATTTTAAACTAAATTATTACAACAGGTACAATTGCTTTCAGCATTTGTCAAGATGACGGATCAATCGATGAGTGACTCAAGATGGTGGAAATTAAATCTAGTTACCATTCATGATTGACTAGCAGCTGAATGACTGAATCAATTTCACTTATACAGAACAAAAGTTACAACTGTTAGCCAAACTTTCTCATATTATTTCAAATGAACAATTATAGAGAATATTTCTTAGAAATATAACGAATGACGTTGATTGCTGTTTCAACTCCATCATTTATGTAAAAATTTTCAATCGTTCTTAACAATCTTTTCTTTGGAAGTTAACAAACTTATTTCTTTTAATGTTCATGTTTTCTCCTTCAGCTCTCAGACGAAGATTACATGATGGTGCTTTCGGAGGGTCGTCGGTCATTAGACAAACTATTGAAATTTTCTATGGATGGTACATATTTGTATAGATATATTGACTGGTGAGTAATTGGAATGTTGATATCATAGTAACAAAATCATGTCAACAACAATACAAACAGAAGAGATCAAGTGCGACAAGCAAATTTATTGCGGTAACTTGGGAAGAGGTCACGTTTTCTGTATTTTATGTGAAAGTTTTTGTTATGATATGTTCATTGAATGACTGTGTTTCTGTAGATTACTTTCGTAATAAACTGTGACGCTCGCAGGGCGGGACGGTCTGCTCAGCACACGGGAGAGTACCGCGCGCAGGCTCACGCTGCCTCTGCCCCAGCCACCATAACGCTGCACTCCCTCCCCGCTGGAGGTATGTGCGCATTACATTCAAATGATTTGAGAGATTCTCATGGAAGTGAAAGTTAGTTCATTCGTGTTGTTTCGTGAATGTTAGTTCTTTTGTGAGTTCATTAATGCAGAAATCCTCGTCGGTGCATATCTGTTTGGATAGCTCATTTTGATTCGTTTAATTTCGTTGTGGTAAATTAAATTTAAACTAGGTAAATTTTACCTAGTCATTGTAGATTCACTTCTCACCTACCGATTAAGCTCAGTAAAATGCACTAAAATAACCTATACTGTTCACATAAAACTCTCTGAACTCACAGCCTCGTAAATTACGACGAACAGTGAAAATTTTAATTTGGATTACACCTGAAATTCAAGGTGAGACCGAAAGTGCAAGCGATTGCCTTAATGTAAATATCACCCTCGATACATGCTCAAATAGAAACGCAAGCAAATAATAAAATGTGAAGACACGAATAAAAAAGTTGAATTATTAGGCATGATAATAAATTTTCATTAATATCCAAACACAATCTTCGCTATTCACTCTCAACACGAACTACCCTATATGCAAAAAAAATTGCTAAAAGTTTAAGGAAAAATAGAACAACGATTACATAACCAAGGCGAGTTCTCAGTAAAGTAAAAGAATACGAATATATTTCGCAAATATCATAACGCGATAATATTGGAACGAAGCACAAAATTTTACTGTACACGCAGCACTATTGTGCCAAATATTTTATTTATTCCGGCCCAGGTTCGCACCACATTAATTAAGTGTAAACAAAATGTCAATAGAAACAACACAAAACAACGGAACTAAATTTCACGCGTCTTATGAGTAATAATTATCTTCACAGCATTCGGCAGTGTATCGGGCACTGTAACGTTCAGTGTTATAAAGGCCGAGCGTGGAGTTCTTGACTTGATCTCGTGCATCAGTGAGGGCCTTCTGCACAGAAGTGAGTTGTAATATCTATTTTGTAATGAATTTTGAATGTGCATTTTGTAGTGAATCATCTTCAACATAATGTGTATATAAACTCAACAGTAACAGATTAATTCTTCTCAATCATTAAGCGTAATATTATTTTTCTCAAATGTGGTACATATCTTTGTCTCTTGGTACGTTTTTCAGAGCAAAGACACGTTCTGATCTCCACTGAGCTGCTCCGTTCAGCTGTGACTGCCGTGTTAAGTTTGCACTGGGCAGCAGGAGTGACACCGAACACAATCCAGGAAGTCGGATTTAACGGCCTATTTCGATCAGAAAGTGAACTTCCCGCAAGTTCAAGACAGGATAAAGTTTTAGCAGTCCTTACTATCCTTGCTGGCTTTCCAATCTTTGAACTGGCGTGCATTTCTTCTGCCTTATTCTCTATATGCTATAAGATAATATTAATAAATGTTATCTCCCGACCGCCGATATACCAGCCATTTTTTACCACAGCGAGCCTGCATTTTCCACTTCAGTCCCCTACAATTTTGAACAATTTGGCTACGACCAATCCCTCATTCTCAATTCAGTCCAATGCTAGCTCAAGAATTTGTGAGCGTTCCATATGCTGTTGAAAGTCCTTCCAGTTTCGGGAACCCTGAGCAGGATGACGCCAAAAATAATCCCTTATTAGTCGGGAATTCTATCTCGGGGCAGTACAACATTTTCTTCAAAGGATGATAAATGTTCAGTGCGAATTGGAGGAAAATATCGCTTTTTTACGCGAGTGATTACTCTTATGTGTAGTAACTTAGACCTCCGAAAAGCTCTCTCATCGACGTTGATGAAAAAAAATTAATAGGGTATAATTTGCTTATTTTTATTATTCGTTAGGAGACCATATTTTTTTAAATTAAAGCTCCGTAAAAGTTTAATGGAACAGGTGGAGAAAATCAATCATGTTGACCTGCAAACATAAAAACGGAAACAGATAATAATTTAAAAAATGGTTTAACAAACTAAAAGTACTATAATTTCCAGTGATAATTTTATTTTCCATTTAGTGCAATTATATATATTATATATAAGTGGGCATTTGTGGATGATAAATTCTCCCTGAGTCTATTGGAGAATTTATGATTCCCGCGTAATCGAGGGTGGCACCGTTCTTGCTAATTGACATTCAAGATGTTTTTAAAAAGATGGATCTTGGTTATAATTTACCAATTATATTCCCTCTCATAAGCAAATTCATTGTCACACTGATCGCTCTAGTCAAAGATACAGTAATCGGATTAAACATTAGGTCTTACAAAAGTTTAATGAGAATCTCATTCCACTCAACTGCTCTAGCCTAATAATAATATGGAAACAGCATTGTATTTCATATTCACGTCGGTCTCAAGATTTGATAACATAATAAAAAATACTCATTTTACATACTCATATAATGTAAAGTGAGGGGTTAAGATCAACGGTTGAGTTAATCATACTAATTATGATCGAAGAATGACAATATAACTGAAGAGTATCATGAACTACATGATATGACTAATATGATAATACGATAATATAATATCTGATATGATAATAGGGAATGATAATATGCCCCCTTGAGTTGACGGAACACATTTCCTATCTAAGCAATAGCTACATGAAAATGCCATAAGTCAAATCCACATAATGATTACCTACAACAATGTTTAATAATTGCTAATTTACACTTACCGAGTGGACAATTACTAATAATAAGGCACGAGCGAAGGAAACGAAAAAGGGCGTCGGAGCGGAATCGAGTGCAAAATGAACGGGCCAGTGTTACCCAGGTGACTTGGAATGAATTATCGTTTTGTTCTAGAACTTCCCGTTAATCACAAAATAAAATATTTTCCATTACTAAAGCTTAAAACTATTACCAAATAATCAGATCTTATAGATATCAAAACTGGCCATGATTAACTGACTTACAATGATGATTACTTTTCTTTTAATCTTTAGCCTATTTAATATGACTATCGGTCAGAGTTCACGGGAGTCGTTCATAATTACGGTATTAAATATTTAACATAATAAAGTTTTACACCTAATAATCTTATGAATCACTACAGTGAAGAGAATCAACGTGTTAAGGCATGAAACTTTCCCTAATCGAGTGTAGCCAATTAAACTACGCTGCCAAGCAATAAACCCAATCGAGAAGAACCTCGCATGTAGCGAAACAATTTGCATGTTGGAGTTTACGATGCTGCACTGAACATATATTTCCTCATTTGCTTGAACAACTGAAGTCAATGGAGAATGAAACATCCATACTAGCGTCAAATAATTTAGGAAAATGTGAAAGGCACAATAAAAGACAACTCATGAATAGTCGTTTTAATCGACAAATGTCAGATTTTATATATTTTTATGAGTAAATCTACAAAACACTAGGCCTGAGGAACAGGAACATGCATGTTCATCAGAAAAAAACTCGAGGGCACTAAACGGAATTAGCGGATAAATGAACCTACAGCGTGCTTAACACATATTATCGAACAATAAATGTACAATTTTATCGTTTTAAATGTTATTATCGGTTGAATAAACATACAAGACGTCACATCGGAGTTCGGACTTTCGTCCACCATTCATCGACGGCTCACATCATAGCACAGTCAGCTTTGAATTCGTTTAGTTTTATTCAAATAAATTTGTAAAAAACTTGTAGCTGAATAATACTCCTGCGCTGATTCAACTTTAATTTTAAGATGGTTCTGCGAGGACCAAACTCCAAAGCTTCATGGAAAAGCATGTGTTCAGATAAAAACTTATATAATCATGGACACTAGAATGAAATTACCGCAATTCAGTAGAGCAGAAATTCTGCAATATCAAATCATCTCCGATTTTTGCAAAAAAGTATTTATGAACATTGATTAACAGGCGAAAATTAGAGGTTTGTGCCATGTTTAATAACTTAGAACAATGAACTCCAGTCCCGCAGGTTTAATGTATTTGATCACCAAGCTTCCTGATATCTACTGCAATTGGTTTGGATCGATAATCTACGATATAAGTCGTATATTAAATGTTCTCATCCACGGCTCGAATTCGAAATAAGTTGATAGCAAGTTTACGTTTGTTCACTGGAGATAAAGTGATGACATTTGTCTGAACTCAACGCATAAATACAGGTTATGCACAAAAGCCCTCTGTATACTTCACGCCCAATTAGCACAAAAAAATTAGTGCTCTCAATAAAAACATCGCTTATTGAAAATGTAATGTGTGGCCATGTAAATACGATCTTGAAGAGCCTTCAGGATTTCCCTTTCTCTTGTAGTGACTCGTATTCATAACTCGCACTATCATTTCTTGTCGATGTCGTAGTTAATATTTTAAACCTTCAAACTCGTGATCGTCAACCTCTGTAACGATATGTAACTTGATTGTTTTGAACTCGATTGTTTATTTCGTATTTAATCATTTCACTATTTTATAATTATAAATAATTTGGTCATTAAATCTTGTCAATTCTTGAGCAAGGATAACACTCGTGTAATTCATGAATTATCAAAATTCGGTAAACGACGAAAGTATTTTTATATGTAAAACCGTACCATAAATTATTGTGAGTTCGTTTTAGACCGCGCCAGCGTGTAAACATTTGCCTATCGCGTGTTAGCGTCATTTGCTGGATGACGACATGGGGTGCACATCAGCAAAGGGGTAAGATGCTAAGTTTCCACTAGAATTCAAGTCCTATAATGTAATGAAATATTTCAGTATAACTGTCATAACTAAATACTAATTGTGTTCTCTGTATTCTTTTGATATTGTTATTCCATTGTGTTCATGTCTGCCGATTCTAACGGCCATCATACAGGTGTTGTCTTCGTTCTTCGACCTCAATAAACTACGTATCTGAGCTTCATAGTATTCACTTCAACCCCACAAGACGTATTCAATTAACTTAATAGGGAGAGGAACGGTTGCTATCACTTCTAACTCTCAATCACAACCCTTAAGCACCCCTTCTTCTAAACACTCAAACATCCAAAACTTCTACCTGCTTTAGGTGCCGACACTTTTGAAGATCTACTACTGCCACTTACAACACTAAAAGTACCGCCCAACCACATTTTTGCTCACATAATTTAAAGAATGTGGCAAACCTAACATCCTAAAAAATTTTTCATATAAATTAGAAATAGGCGGGTTCTCCATGCCTTTATTGACGATGGTACACCTCCTTTAACTAAGCAAGAACCTAATGCTGAAAATCTTAAAATTATCAAACCGCAGATATAGACAGGAAAAAATTAGAAGGGAGAAAGAAAAGGTCCGTGAGTCTCTTCATTTAAGAGCAGGTCATATTTTCTTAACGTGGGATGAAGAAGTTGTACTGTCCTGTGATGGGGGCACCTACTAGCTGAGGGCTCTGGTGAGAGTCATGCTGTTCCCTATTGCCAAAGTTCTCAAAATAGTGAGCAAAATATGGAATACCTCCAACTTCTTGAGCATAAACTGGACCGACCCTTGCTTGCATTGAATTATGTGCAAAAGCCGACGGCTGAAGAGCGTAACGTGACCACGAGTAAGTAGGAACTGGATAGGTAGCGAAGACAGGTTCAAAGTTGTACAACACAGTTGGAGGTGGGGATGGCAAGGCGGAATAAAATGTGAGGTTAGATGTTGCATTTTTCCAAGCACCCAATAGAGAACCACAATAATCTGGTTTTTTGAAAAGGTTGAACAAGCAATTGATTGCTGCCAAAATAATAAAGAATTTTCTTGCTTCTGGAGATGGATTAAAGTTAATAATATCTTGCCGTCCCAACCTCAAGTCTGGGTATGCGTACATCGTGTCCAGGATTACCGGATTCAAACTGGTCGCAGCTTCAACACCAGAACGATGCAGCATCGTGGAGATCAGAAGATGCCTTCGCTCTGTAAAATATGTGTAGCAGGTATTTAAAAGAAAAAAACAGCAAATTCACCGTGTCCCCATTGAAAACGTTCCGAAAACTAGCTCCAAAAGTTCAAAAAGTTTTACAGAATATACCGGAACAAACACCGGAATAATCATCATTAATGATTTGTATTCTATAGAATTTTTTGAACTGAAGATGGAGCAGGTCTCCGGAACGCTTTCAAAGCAGATTTAGTAAACTTTCTTGGCGTTTTCATGCTTTTGATTTTTTGGTGAACTTGTAATATAAGCAGACTAACAATTTTAGTGCGTGTGTAAGAGCTAAACACGGCGAATGCAGCAATAGAAATAACAGAGAAATGTACTGCGCTATACCATTATAAATTTGATATAAATTGTTTTTCATATTATTTCAGTTGAAGTCATCACGGTGCCTGATTGTTATTACTGTGAAATGATTTACTAAAAAATCCATAAATCATTTGTGAGTGATACTTACCGTAAATTACAAGACCTGCCCTGGCGCACGACAACAGTTCAATGATTCCTTCCTCGGCTCTCACGACACTGAGCTTAACGGTGCCCGACTCTGCACTGCCAAAAGCTGCATGGGGTGATAAGCATCAAAATTAGTTTTCAGCGTTATGTTAAACCATCCAAGTTGCTTATAAAATATCTCTCTACTTTTGCAACGTTAAATCTTCAACTTTCCGTTACTATTTTTTTTCCAAAGTATCTAGCTTTCACCGATTTCTTCCACATCCCAAATTTGCCTATTTCCTGAAAGCTAGAAACTATCACTGACACGCATTAAAATATTAGGTTTGCTACTCCTTATTTATTAATATATATGTATTTGTGTGCTTAATTCTTTCATTTACCTAACTTTGTCAATGTTACTTGTAGGATCAACCCTTTAATTATTGTAAATAGTCAGCTACTAACTACAGCATTCCGCACTGACAGCCTGCGAAGTTTCGCCATTCATTTCTGTTCATATGAATAATTAATTACGGTATTCATCGCTTCTAAGACCATGATATATTACTCCAGTACATTATTAATCGTATGCCAGCCGCATTTTCAACGTAAACCCCAAAGCTATCAAAGAGGACGAATTCTACAATTGGAATATGTATAAATTGACCTATTTCATTCTCTATTTGTCATACTGTTAAAAGCAATCTCGAATCCTTGCATAACTTCTAAACAGCAAAGCATGCGACTATGAACAAACAGCATGCGAATATGGACTGTTCCTTACGAATCTGCATACTAAAAAGAATAAATTTCCATGTATGAAAAATCACGCATCATTTATTCAACAACATTGGGACATTTTTTAAGGCATTTTCATCTTGATGACCTAATAACTTAGCTTATTCAAAGCTTAGCTTATTCAAATCCAAATAGATTAAAATGTATCCTCCTGTTCGCAAATAAAGGCTTAATCATTCGGGCGCGTCACCATATATTAATCCAGAGAAGGCAAATTACATACCTCCACTGGGGAGGGAGTGCAGCGTTATGGTGGCTGGGGCAGAGGCAGCGTGAGCCTGCGCGCGGTACTCTCCTGTGTGCTGAGCAGACCGCCCCGCCCTTTGGATACAGAAGGTTTCGTGAGCCAGAGTGCGAATTTTACGAAAATTCTATTTTCTATCACGGTATTTTACATGAGAAATTTTAAGGCTTATATCTTTATTTCCTTAATTTATTTATCTTGTCCTTCCTTCATGATTATTTTTTTTTTCATCTGGGCTCAATTATATAAATGAGTGTTAACTCATCTAACAAATTAACCTGAGTTAACATTGCGGTAAATCAATCAGTTTTTGACATTGCAAAAATTCCACACCCCCTTCAATTTTATATCAAGTTATATTTCACATAAACCCAAACAATTCATATTTAGGTTTTATTCAAATGTTAGAATGACCATCCAAAGCAATGAAAATTAATCCAGACATTTATTTCTCAGACACCATTGAATGAGAACAAATCGAATTTCAATCCGTCGTCAATGATAAAGAATATTAGTTACCATCACCCTTAACTCATTTAATTTTCATGCGTGTCCGACTCATTGAAGACAGACGTTCAACTGCACGAAATTAAAAATGGTCATGCATGAAATAAATTATTTAACTCAATACAATGGCAATTGCAGGCAGCTCAGAGACTCACAGGTCGATGTACGTGAGAAGGTAGGTCCCGTTGTGGTAAAACCGTAGCTGGCTGGTGGATGAGGACTGACCGGCTGGATGCACTACTTCATAGTCACCGTCAGTAAGCTGTGACATGGAATGAATTAAGTTAACTGTGAAAAATAATTACCCAATTTTTGTGAGATCTTTCCCCGTAAAGGTAGTAGTAATTGCAATCTTAGGACTAGTTATTTGCCGGATTTTACTGTTTGGTCGTTAAACTTATATTTTATGTATGTTACCTCATAGGTTTAGTTGATTATACTTTCCAACTATGTATTCCTGGCATCCAGCCAGAATGTTCCAGCTTAAAAAAGTGCATTCTTTTACGAAGCTATGGGCTTTTTAATATTATAAATGCCAAATCACTCAGTGACTCATGCGCATAGGAAAGCATTCTAAATCATCACTTGGTCGTCCTGAATACAGCAAACAGAAATTATGTCTAGAGTGCAAATAATATAAGTTAAAAAATTACTTTTTAAAGACAACACTTCTAAAGAATCCAGTGTCCCCTATGTTACAGATGTACAATGAATTTCTCATCTTATTTTCGAATATAAAAAATAAATTTTCAATGTATTTAATATATAATTTTTTTTTTCAAAATTATTTATTCTGTCAATTGATTCGTGCATTGCCTCCGACTTCACACAAGTGTGCAAAAGTTCAGATCAATTGGACAGGTAAAATTGTGTCAAATACCAGTTATAAGATTTGTAGCTGACAAATTTTTTTTCAATTTTTTAATATTGAAAATTTTTTTAAATCATTTATTTTGTCATTTGATTCTTGCATTGTCTCCAACGTTACGCAAGTGTGCGAATTTTCAGATCGATAGGATAAGTAGAAGTGTGTTAAATTTTGATTATAAGATTTGAAGAAGTGAAGAAGAAGGTTTGGGAAGTGAAGTTAAAGAGAAGTGTTGTAGAAAATTACCTAACCTCAGCCATTTAATGCATAAGTATCCCAAGCTAGACTGAAACGTGACATTGATACAGTCAGGACCAACTTATAGTAGACTACTCAAACGAATGTCGAAAGCAGTGATACCATACTGGTGCAATTATTTCGTGAGAAATCGGCAGACACTGTCAAGGTTTTAGTCCCCAGCAACGCTCAAGATTCATCTGAAGTGATTTTCACTCACCTTACTAATGTAGGCGTCGTTGAAGTTCTCAGTCGTGTTGGGGGCGCTGCAGGGCCCGATCGTTGGGCCCTGGGCGAGCCCCCCCAGCACGAGGCACAACCCCGTCAATAAACACCACACACCTTGTCTCTTCATTTTTCTTCAATAAAATTTCAATTATATAACGGACATAAAACAACTGAAGATTCAGCTTATGATTGCAATAAAATCAATCAAAATGTGTGAATTTAGGTTATTTAAATCTGATGGAGGGAATGAATGTCAGACTTTTTTGGGACCGATAAACTAACCAATTATGACAATAATTGTTGCCGAGCAGACGCCGAGCCAAACTACTCGTAATATTTTCTAAGATTCTTGGATATGTAAAATATCTCATGATCCCTCCGCAAAGGTCGTAGGCTTCGAACATGAACGAAGGAAGACCTCGTTGACGATGGCGGAGTAATGCTTGCCTAAACCTTTTGCTTTCTCTTTTATATCGGTACTCAACAGTGTATGAGTGTCTCACCATTTATAAATCATTCACGAGGAAAGAATTTTTGTTAATCCAGGCGATGAGTCTGAACCGTGAAGCGGTCGGAGGAATGTAGCGCTTTACTGTGTAGTGTAGGCAGGATGATTTGGATCCAAGGACCGTTCATGATGACTGATTAGTAAATACCGACCGAGATCCCATAAAATCTGCATTCAGAAAGATTAAAAATCACTCATGTCCCTTGCCACATTTGCTCAAAAATTGATATAATATTTGTACTACTACATCAATGTTTTATCATAAACTAGTAAAAGAAGTAGGAAGATGATTAAACAAGTATGCAGCCAGCCTGTCAATGGAAGAGATACTAACGAAAAATGAAATATTATCGGATTTGATTTTCTGGTTATTTCTGATTTTAACAAAAGTTCCCCTAGCCTAAATGAAAATGTTGAGGAGATCGATCTACGGGAAAATCTGTATGAAGTCAAACACCATACCTACCTACATAAAATCTGTATGAAGTCAAACATTATACATACGGGCCAATGACCAGTGAGGCTTGGCGGATCAATTTTGCAAAGTTTGACAAACGCTTGCCACCTAACGGACGCACGCGCCACTTCGAACAGTGAAGGCGCCTCTGATCGCTGGTTGGGAAGCATTTGGGCACTTCCTCCAAATACCATGTCCTGTCTAACCTCCTCTATCACTCTAAAAATGGGAAATTTATACCGTCCCATCTCTCACATTCTTTCTGGTGGCACCGCAAAAACAAAGAGTTCTGTAAGTAGTTAGAGTATATTATACGTTTCACTTAGAGCCGACGCATGATTGGTTAAGAGCGTCGATTGGCACGCTCAGGACAGTGACGTTTTCGCTTTGACAGTCCATCTACTTAAGTTAACTATTAGCATCGTGAGTAACTCTGCCTCAGAGTTAGCTGGCCAGGTGGTTAATCACTTGAAACATTGGGCTCATTTTACGTTGAGTCTAGTTTCTCACCCTTCTCGCCAACATATCATCTTCATTTGTAAAGCCCCCATCATTTGTTTCTCGGCTTGCTATGGGATACCTTAATTAAAATATGCTCACATTGACCACCTCATCATCGAATGTGGCATCTTTCTTTTGCCTGCACATTTGAAGTCGTAATTTGAAATTTTGTTGCTCGAACCTCCAAGAACCACGCATAATTTTTTCCAACTCAATTCTGCCTAACCGTGGGGGGAAAAATATAAAGGCTACTCTCAACTCTCATTTTGGCCAATTCGCTGCCCTTCTGCTAGCAGACGGCATCCTGCCAGCTGTATCCTATGAGTGAGTAGCTGGTCTACTCGCCGAGGAATATCCTCACCATACACAGAATCCGTTTGGAAGCAGACGGCATACTAGGAAAACCTGCTCAAACGACCCCCACAGTTAAGCACTGGCGCAGCTGCAGTTGGGGCACTCGGCTGTAGGATGGAGGCACACCAAGCCCTCTTTGTTGCGAGTGCGGAACATGCAGCCCGTCCTTATCATCGGATTTTGATCAGATTTTCTCCTTGCATCCAGTCTATATATACAAGGTTATGGAGTGAATCGGAAATTAATATACGTGGATCAGGCCAACTGTGAATCAATATGTTAGGATCATAGTGATTTGACACTCATATTCATGGTGAACCAAACGAAACCTCAAGATACAGCCAGCAAGCCCGTTGCAGCTTAAGATAGTCCAAGTGTGGGTGGGATTATTACTAGGTGTGTATGTGGCTGTTAATTGTTTGCTTTATACATATGGATAAAATTCTCGGCCTCGTTTACCTATACAATTCACAATTATTATTAAAATTATAGAATGATTCTCACTAAATGCAAAAAATTATTTTACACATGCGTTAAAATATTTATATAATTCATTAATAATTTCATTGTCGCACCTTATTCACACATAAATCGTCAGCATACAATTAAGAACCATTTTTAACTGCATAAAACGGACCTGAAAATTCCCACCGTTACTCACTACACAAAATTGTTTTCGTGCTCATTTCCACTACAACTTTAGAACAAAGTGAGCTTCCTAGCTCCCGCTGTCGCTCTTATATCCTCAAGAGTGAGCCGACCTGCTCAATACCGGTTTCTTATCACCTTGAACTGCAACCAAGTTCAAGGAGTTCATTATACAGTCTATAGTCGGCGTCCTCCCCGACAAACCTAAAAAAGGTCCACTGAACATAAATTCTTATGTACGTGCCCATTTAGATTTCTCAAAACAATAGCTAACAGCAGATGTTAGTTAAGAATCATATCATATCAGGGAAACGTTTTTGGTATGTCAACAACATTCGATGTGTTGACTGAATGTGCACCACTCCATTTTATGTAGCAGATATGCTTGCTTTTCGTAAACTTCCAGTGAAATACTTGAAAGTAATTTTAGAGAAACCTAAATGGCAAACTAATCATATTTTCGTACTTCATAATCAAACGAGATCGAAGAGTATGCTGTTATTAAAGTCAAAGTTTCCACTGAGAAGATTTATTACATCGGTAAGAAAGAATTATCAAATATCTCTCTTTTAATAAGGCTTGTAGTCTCTAAAACCTCAATAAAAAAAGTATCCTGAAATATACCTCTAGACTCTTTGGGGAATTATTAGACTGCTTCTCTACCTGTACACTTGAAAAATTCAAATTATTCTAAAAAATTCATATATGTAGACCTTTAGCAATATTAAGCACGTCCAGAATAGCGAGTCCATCATATGACTTTGAATTCTATATAAATATTTGATATTATCTGGAATAATACAGATCCAATACAATTAGACGGAAATATCCAAATCATGAATTGGTAATAATAGTTATGGAATAGAATAACTTCATAATTTAAATAAGCTCATGCGGTTAGAATTTTACCTTCTAAAAACTTCGCAGAGCTAATATTAAGTTAAAGCTTTTTTGCATTTTAGTCCACTTCCAAGGTTTGTTGCATACGCAGGTTAGCTGCCATAACCGGTCCACTTAGACTTGGAAGCTGTTTGAAAAAAAAAATGGTCGAGTGCTTTTTGTACCCTCTTGAAGTTATAAATGCAGACGCTAGATAAAAAGCCCATACCATGTTATGATGTTGGTGAGAAGATAGATGTTCGAATAAAAATTTTCCAGCAAACATCTTCGTAAATAACTGGTTTTACTCTGGAATTTGTTTATTTCTGTTTACATTTTTTTGTGAAAGGTTCGTTTTAAAATTCAGCCATACATAATAAAGATTGTCAATAAAGTTTTTTTTTTACTTCGGCGCTACAGACCGAACAGTTGATGCATAAACTTAAGATCATAATCTGTGTTATTCGATCTTGATTAAAATAACACCAACCACTGCGCGGTTGGGATGTTGAATAATTTCTCGTGCTAGTTGTTATTCGGTGTTCAATCATGAAATTTTAGACCGGAAAACCTAATTCCGAAAATGCTGAACTGACATTTGCAAAATTCATGAAGCCATCTCTCAGTTGGGAAATTACCAAGTCCTCGTTATGGGTGATTTGCGGTGTTAACTCATGAAATATTCAAGCGTATAACCAGCGTATTATACTGCCGAGCAGACACGCATATGAAATTGAAACGGCTGATGCGGAAATGTGGAGAGTGAGTAGCACCCGCCTCCGTACACCTGCAGTACTTTCTCGCACATCTTCCGTCTGCAAATTTTAAATAGTTATCGATCTTGCAATTTAAGTACGGAACTTGAAGCAGCACATCCTGACACAGCTGAGTATAAATTAACTAGTACTGATATATCATCGATGTAATACGAGTACCAGGAGAAGTTTACACGCTGGCAAACGTAGCTGAAGTCATCTGCTAATATTTTCAACCATATTTAAAACCTGTAAGTATAGGACTTGTCTGGTTTCCACATGAATAGCGTCGGTATTCTCGTACACCGAGCTTGAAATATATTTTGAAATACGGCAGCCTATTCGTATTTCAAACAAAAAGGCGAATCGTAAAATTGAATTCTACTACCGTTTAATACCTAAATTTATTTTCAGGAATTAAAACGGCTTGGTAATAACAGGTTGGCCTATAACCGGTCCACCTGAACGTGGATGCTGCAGTGGAAATAACTGGGCAGGCCGGTGTTTTTTGTTCGCTTCTGAAGATATAAAGGCAGCAGCTGAGACAGAAAATCCCACATTGTTCTGGTGTTGAAGTGGAGATAAGAAGGAAAACGCTCATACTTCATTGCATTACTTTTTAGGATATGTGTTTGGCAATTACAATGTTATCATTTTCTCCGCAAGCTCATTGTCCGCTAACGAATTGAAAGATCAAAGCATAATCAAAGTAACCTACATATTAGCCACTTGAACACAATTAAACAACAGTAATTAGAGTCTTCAAAGATGTCATGCTATTCTGTATTTTCTAAAATTCTATGAGAACGTGCCATGCTCGATACACGGGGCCATTTTAAGCGAGATGTAATAGCAAAATTTCAGCTAGTAACCAACAGCGGAAATTCTTCGATGGAAAATGATAAAGCCTGTTCTATGTTTTAAGAATCAAAGAAATTAGAATGGGAAAAGGTATCGGGGTTTTCCCGTTCATTACTTTCTTCTCAACGCACATCGAAGACAATGGAGCAGAACTGGTGAATCGACCAAGATACTTCATTATATTTTTTATTTATGTAGAAAACAAAGAAGGCATTGCTTGAACAAAAAAATTGTTTAATCAAGACGTGTGAATTCTTGACCATTTTAGCGCATTTATATTAACGGCTATAAACGCTTACTTTGAGTTTTATTTAACAGATAGGTTACACGGTTTGGAACATTAAAGAACGATAATTTGAAATATAAGCAGCATGAAGTGGCAGGTGTTGTGTGGGGCATTAACAGGGCTGTGCCTCGTGCTGGGAGGCCTCGCCCAGGGCCCCACGATCGGGCCCTGCAACGCCCCCAACACGACTGAGAACTTCAACGACGCCTTCATTCGAAGGGTGAGTATAAATATTCTAGTCTCATTCAGAACATAATTTTCCGTCACTTTCGGAAAGGGTGCTGAATTTTAGAATGAACAGCTCCCAAATCTTGTCGAGTCATCCCGAAAAACTCGCTAAAATAATTATACTTGCCACCGTTCGTGATGGATTAAATTAATAATCAGTTTACATTACTTTTTCCGACAAGCCCTTCAGAAACTTAATTTCGTTCGATTTATTCTTGATATCTTATTGTTCCACTAGCATGCATATTCGTATTCAGCTTTAGCAATAAGGTAGGCTGAAAGCTTATTTGTGTGCTCCTTAACTTTTACAATTTAGCCTAAAAAATGTGATAGGATGTCTCATCATTCTGTGAATGTCTTCGCCCAGTGCCCTCGCTAACTGAAGTATTAATTAGCTGATAACTTTTCAAGCATCGCGGGTGAGATGAAAAGTCATTCACGTGAGCTGTACTAACATGAACAAATTTAAATGGAAGAATTATTCTCAAAGTTTCTGCTCATGATGCGATTCAATTATATTGAAGAAAATTATTGTTTTGCACATTATCATAAATTGTCCTAATTGTGTTATCACTTTTCCATCAACAGCTTCCTGACGAAGATTATCTAATAGCGATCTCAACTGTACAGCAGTCATCTGGGAGTAAGATTAAGTTTTTCATTAACGGGACTTACCGCTATGATTACTTCGACCGGTAAATAATCTACAACCTTAATATCATCTTGATCTGAAATTTACATTGTTTCCAATGAAATTACACTTTTTATGGTAAACAGTTAAGGGGAAATTCATGCTAAATGCAATAATATTCTTGTATCGGAGGGTGATTAATTTAACTACACCATTTATTTTTTCTTTTGATATAATTTAGTATTCACCATAATAAACTGTGATGTTCGCAGGGTGGGGCGGTCTGCTCAGCACACAGGAGAGTACCGCGCGCAGGCTCACGCTGCCTCTGCCCCAGCCACCATAACGCTGCACTCCCTCCCCGCTGCGGGTAACATAACACACTAAATAAATTTAGAAAATTGAGCCAAACACAAATAAAAGTTGAGTTGAGTCAAAACAATAATGACAAAATACTCTTTGACAGTATTTCGTCAGGAAAAATGCTCGATGATGCTCAGATCTCTTCTATTTTTTGGCGTTGTTATAATGCTATGATACTTATGATACTTGGCAATAAGCCTTTGAAATTATAAATAAATATAAATGATGACCAAATTATCGTTTCAATTAATGACGTTTAGTACTTTATAATTTTTCCACTAGAGTGGTTTTAGTGTAAGCCGGAGCCGAAGAGGCTAGAATTTAAACCATCACGAACATTTCACTCCGGTGACGTCAGATTGATTATCATAACATTTCATTTTATGCGCATCCAGGTAAATATTCATATGCACTATTTAATAGGCAAAATAAAAAATCGAAAATCAAATGAATTGGTCGTAACAGAATCATTTTTTTTATCTTTGCAGCATTCGGCAGCGGATCCGACGCTGTAACATTCAGTGTTGTACAGGCCGAGAGCGGAGTTCTTGACTTGATCTCGTGCATTAGGGAGGGCTTTCTCCATCACGGTGAGTTGTAATATTTATTTTGCTTCCTAACAAATGGTCTCTAATTTGATGTTAAATTCATGTCTGCAACAACGAAAAAATTATGAGTTGGAAAATAAATTTGCTTATTAATTATAGAAGCGCAGTTATAGGCAGGTAAAGTGATGAATTGAGCTCAATATTTAAACTGCGGTATTTTTCCAGAGCAAAGACATGTTCTGGTCTCCTCGACGCTGCTTCGCTCACTTGAAACTGCGGGAATTCGTTTGGCCTTACACATGGGAAAAACACCTAATACAAACCACGAAGTTGGGTTTAATGGGATATTTAGATCAGGAATAGAAGTCAAGCAGAGTGCAGGAGAGAATAGTACATTTTATATATTTCTTATACCTTTACTCCTCAAAACGAGTAGTCCGCTCTGTCTGTTGCTTCCTGATCCACCAGCTTGTTTCACAGGGTTAAAAAACTTTACCATAGAGTTGTTCCTTCCGTCGCAGCCAGTGACATTGTTGTACACCACCGAGCCTGTAATTAATCATCTAGTAACACCATTTGCGTTACAGAGTTACCATACCAGTCACATCTACCAGCATCCACCCATCGGTCCCTCGCATGTTGAAAAAGTTGCGAACGTACCATACTTTGCCCCACTCCCCAAGAACTTTGAAAGTTTGAAGCAAAAAGAGCTTGATGGAAGTCTCAATATCCATGGGAATCCAAACTCGGGACAATATTCCCTCTACATCTCAGACTAGGAAGTTTCTGGGCAACAGCGGGAATTGGTGGAAAATAATTGATGGCATAATTATACTTGGCACCGTAATTTCTTACAACTGAATCAATTTAGACTTCCCCCAATGTGCATTCATCAGTATTGTTGCTGCAAATAGGATGAGATGTGTCTTATATCTTCATTATATCTTACAGTTATGTCCGTCAGCATGATAGTATTTTGGTTATGAGAGTATATTTTAAACAGCTGTAAGCTTTTGCCTGGCTGCCATTGATTTTGTCTTCTGAATCGCCAAAACCTTGCTCGTAAATCAACATTACACCACCTCAGAGAAACTTGTCGATTACGCATTTGATAAGACCTCCAATTATGCTCGTATTATCATCGATAAATCCTAATTTACGCTGTATTAACAATAAATCACTTAATTAACTTTAGATAGGCTATGCAGCTCATATTTGTCGTACTGGAGCTGGAACGTACTAATTAAGTATTCGTATCACTAACTGTGCTTACTACACTCACATTTACGGCCTTCGAAACTTACAAGTAATTCTATCACTTGACCTGGTATGCATACGTTCATATCCAAAAAAAGGTATAATTCTTGTCACCCAATTTAGAATCTAGCACCTTTAACTATGTCTGAGAACTTGCACTATGAGTGTGTTGAATGGTGAACGTTTTCGCTCAGGATTACAACAGGATTACAACAGGAAATATGCTATGGATGAAAGGACGAATTCCTCGAAGTATCTTGGAACAAATTTGACTTAAAAAGACAGATATGCAAGACTTATATGACATAAACCACCTGGCCAGACCACCTGAATTCGCACTTCACTGCACCACGCCTCTACGTACGCACAATTCCAGGTTTCTAACTACAGGGGTACAGTGAATTCCACAGCGAAGAGATTTCGACTGCGCGAGGGTCTAACCCAAAGGGTAACACTGTGGCTATATATAAGGAGTCAGTTACCACATTGAAATGAAACCAATTGAACTATGATCAGATGAGTGTATGGAACGTTTTTACTTTTATCGCTTAAGTCATACCGGCCATTTCAGATCAATGCATTAGTTCACAGATGATCATGCGTAAATGTGCGCTAATTTTCAATAAAATTATTTCTGGTATTTTTAATTTAATTTTCTCACACAAGATATTGTTACGCATTGTGGGTACTAGGTTGTGGTACAGACTAAAATCGATAAAAACAGTAATGAGTCACATGTCCAGAGAATGGTTGCCGAAGTATCGAGGTTTTCATTTAAAATTAGATCAGTCTCGGGTTAGAGATGAATGTTGCAAGAGAGACAATTTTTTAATATATGCAATGAATTATTTAGTTTCATGTTTATAATAAATTCTACTATATGTACATTACAGAGTCCGGAAACTTGTTGTTCGACTAACGTGCATGCATGTTGCTCGACTCCTGAGTCGGATAAAAATAGGCAATTTGAGCTTCTGAGACCTCTAAGCCTGGGGGATTATAAAAAAAGAGATAATAGCATGTTCATATTTGGGAATAGGTATGAGCATCATCTTTGACTTCGAATAGAATAGAAACCATACAATTTTTTCAAGGAATAAGTGCGCGCTGTTTACACTTTACACTGAATTAGCTGGAAAAGTTTCTAATCATTCTGTTGGTGTATATCGACAGTGATTTTAGCTTGATAAGTAATTGCATATCAATTATTTTGAAGGCGCACGCAGCAGATTTTAATTTCAAACTTGTTTGTAAATTCCCAATTCTATTTTTTTCGTACTGCCGAGCTAAAATTCCCCGACTTGTATATTCTCACATAAGATTTTTTGTGCAAGGCGATAATGACAGTCTGGCTCAATAACCGGTCCACTTAAACTTGAATTTTTTCGGAAATAATAGGCGGGTGGGGAGTTTTTTTGTTCACTGTTGAAGATATAAGGGAGCAGCAGATGCTCAAAAGCTCACTTTGTTCTGGTGCTGAAGAGGAAACTAGCGCCTGGAAAAGCTCTTCTTGCGTTCGTTTAATCATTAAGGTGTTTGGAATACTGATCAATATTCTTACTTAGATTGAGTACCTGAGCATATTGTTTAAAGTCATTTAAACAATATTATTGTTATAATTATTTTAGTTATTTGTTTATTAAAACCAATAGAGGAGCGTAGGTATAGGCGTTGATCAGCCCCCCTCTATGTGTTGAAGAAGACTAAACTTTTTGTGGAAACGATTATGTGAACACGCTGCTTTTTTTGCAAAAGGCATCAGGTTCGAAGTGGTGAAAACGCCGGAGAAGGTTAAAATTTCAAAACGACAGATACTATTTGAGTGCCGGATGACACAGGTTATTTAGCTAAAATGGACGAACTGAAGGCATAAACTGGTTTGGTTTAGTACGGTTCAATAAAATGCAGACGACGGGAAGAACAATTTTTCTAAATAGCAACTGATGAGATTTTTGAGTATTCCAATAAATGGCTTAAACTGCTTCGATTATAATATTTCAAATAGATTTTCTCTGAAAATATACAATCTAATGCGGGGATGAATAGAATCGTTACAAACTGGCAAGTGCGTGGAGCGTTGGTAGGGCTGTGCCTCGTGATGAGGGGGCTCGCCCAGGGCCCCACGATCGGGCCTTGCGGTGCCCACAACACGACTGAGAACTTCAACGACGCCTACATTCGCGGAGTAAGTAGATATTCAAAGTTCTACATTGAACACCATTTCCAAACCATTCAAATGAAGAGCTGAATTTTAAAAGGAACTGTCGATTGACCGTTTTAAATTGAATTCACTTCCGACTACGTACATCATGTGTTATATGGTATAGCATAGAAGCGGTAGTATTATTCGCTCACTTTGATCACACCAACCACAAAATCTGAAATTTTCGAGCCACTAGTTCAATCAAAACTTCAGTTTAGAACGAGCTATCTCGCATAAATTGAACTGCACATACCTCAGCACTCATCATCGCTTATGCTAGCTAAAGGCTCATCTGTGTGTACTTTGACTTTTTATATTCAAGTTATCAGTGACACGAATGAACAAATGTTAATGATCGACCAAATTTTGCCTTTTTCATTTGTCATGTATTCCTGAGTAAGATTGTTACCTCTAATTATCAACGGCGTAACCATGCATGCATTTGAATTTTTAATTGTAATAATCTAAGCGATCTTGCATTCTCAATGATATTCCTGGTAGTTCTTGATTGTAAATTAATAATCGATTTGGTAATTTTTTGCGCATTCACCCACAGCTTCCTGACGAAGATTATTTCATGGTAATGTCGGGTGATCAGCTGTCGGATGACATGCGGATGAAGTTCTTTCACAACTCAATGAATTCATTGATCAGTAAGCATGTGTTTAATAATGATTATTTTCAACAAATTCGCGTTGCAGTTTTGAAATTTGTACTACAAGAATAACAGTGGCCGAATTACCATGATTTTATTGTGAGGATCAACCTAAGTAATAAACTGTGACGCTCGTAGGACGGGGCGGTCTGCTCAGCACACAGGAGAGTACCGCGCGCAGGCTCACGCTGCCTCTGCCCCAGCCACCATAACGCTGCACTCCCTCCCCGCTGGAGGTAAATTACTGTGGTTTCCTTTCAAAATTACTATTACTTTATTGAGAGAAATTTTTTTGATGGCATTCTTTACAAGCGTCCCAGTGCACTAATAGTAATATTGCTTAAAATTAGAGCGAAATTGTTGTGATATTAAGTAAAATAATCATAAATCTGCCCAAGATTATCATAAAAAGTTGGAAATAGCTTTCAATCTTTCACATAACGAAATAACAATTCACATAGCCTAACTGCTGATGTTTGCAGCATTCGGTAGTGTATCCGGCACTGTAACGTTCAGCGTTATAAAGGCCGAGCCTGGAGTTCTTGACTTGATCTCGTGCATCAGTGAGGGCCTTCTGCACCATAGTGAGTACATATTTTAGGGTGATGTCTTGTTTCGAGTATGATGATAATCGTGTGATGAAACTTAGAATTATGAAACTTCTGGAGATTGTTGGCATTCATATGAACTTAATCATTAAACTAATTCGCCTAAATGTAAAATTATCAAGTCCATAAGTAACCATTCACATTTTTTCAGATCGAAGACATGTTCTGATCTCCGCGACTCGGCTTCACTCTGTCATAACAGCTCCGACCAGTTTAGACTCGGCCGCCAGCGATACACCGAACTCCAAAAATCAAGTTAGGTTGAATGAGATTTTGCGATCAGGTGGTAATGTTACGGCGAATTTTCGACTGAATAATGTACTCGAAGGAATTATTTTCGTTCCTTCGCATATTATCATTCTTGGTCTACTGTGTTTGTCATTTCCTGATCCACCTGCATGTTTCAAAAGAGTTGTAAAAGCTATGCTAGAGCCGTTCTTTCCATCACAACCAGCGGCCTTGTTGTACAACACTGCACCCACATATTCAAATTCAGCTCCTAAATTCTTAAGGCACCTTTTTTCTTTCCAGAGCCATTCTGCAGTACACAGTTCAACCCAACATGAAAACTGCAATCATGTCCCAAACTCAGCTGAACGCTTCAACAGTGTTGAAAATCCGGATCAGAATAAACCCGTTGGAAGTCCCATATTTACTGGTTTGTTTTTATTCAACACCGGACAGTACAACCTTTTCATCCCAGGCTAAGAAATACCTGGCTACCAGTGAGAACAAATGGAATAAAGGATGGTGGTAATGTTTTTCTTTATGACGATAACAATTTATAAATATTGACAATTTTTATTTGGTCAAGAAATTAATTCCTGTAGCGTGTTTCATTTTCGTTTTTTAGGATGGGGTATTGCTTTCGTGTTATTCAAAATATTCATGGATATTTCTAATTTATTTTGTGTTGTTATTCATTTGCGCATGACCAATGGTAATTACGTGCACAGAAAGCTAGGCTATTTGATGTTATCATTAGGCTTTCTGATGATAGTAAAAAACAGGCCGACAAATCCAAACACACACAAACTATCTAACATCTTTCGTTTATAGAGAACTTTTATATTTTAAATTTTGATTATTCGAGCTTTTAAGAGCTAGATTGACGAATGAGATCTCAATATGTAATTTTAGGTTACTGAATTTTGTACTTCTCGCATATATCAAATCCATTCTACGGTTATTGCAACCTAGATTACATTAACACTGCACAAACGCACGATGAAACACAGTGCTATAAATTGACTAGAAAAATATTTTCGTAGTTTTTCTTGGAAAACATTAAAAGCATAGTAACTCTCAAGAAGTCTAATTGGTCCAGAGCCGTAACAAATTATTTGAAGCACGAAAAGCTTGTCTAATATTCAGAAATGCTAAAACATCCTAATGACTATAATAAAAAAATGTGCGGTGATCCTTTTCTACGTGGGCACTTTTTCGAAATTGAAATGATTCAGAAACATTTGTTGGAGATGGATGACTTTACCGATAAAATCTTACGCTACAGATTCGAAAATAGGTGAAAATGGATCTCAAAATGATTGAGGGACATTTTTAAAATTACTCACAAACTGTGTTCAAAATATAGGTATTATCCAACGTGACGGAATTATTGGCTTTGATATTATCTTGATTCTGCTTGATGATGCAAGTAATGTATCAATTCGAATTTCACTATTTATAAAGAAATATAAATGTATGATCGCATCCATAAAAGTTGTTTATTTCTTCAATGACTGTGAAAATATTGAATTTATGGATAAATTTTTGACAACTTGCGTCTGCTATTGAAATTAGTTTGTTTTTAGCGGGTAAACTTTGTAAAAAAGATTAATTGGGATTGACTCTGGGTATGAAAATTTTTAGCATTACGAGGAAAATTCTAGCAATTTCGTAGAGTGCACATTTACTAATTCCTAGTTAGCACCATCTTGTGCAGTATGTCTAGTATTCATAATAGACTATTCTGACTGTAGATGCTAAAACATTAATTACTAGTGCCGTGATATGTGTTTAACTTTTACTGAAAACTGTGCGGTGTTCCTTTTCTACTTAGGCACATTTTCCGAAATTGCAATGGTGTTTTCCAAGATTTTACGAAATGGTCGCAATGGAAATTGTTTAAGATATGATTAGTATGAATACATTTTGATGACAGACTCGATTGCAGAACAACATCTATTATGCTTCCCCTACATAGTCTGCTGTATGCAGTTATTACGGGTTTTCGTCACGTCCAGTTTTTAGAATGTAAGTAGCCAGCCAACCCAGTTTTGCTACCACATTGTACTGAGTGGCTTGTAAAGTAATCTTCATTCAAATCGTCTGTTTACCTAACTTACATATTTCTCCCCATGAATTTACTGTTGTGTACGACATTGCGATGTTTCTTGTGATGAAGATGCTTGCAAAGAAAATAAAAACTCATTTATATCTAACAAATGGTTGAAATTATTTTCAGCGATCAATGCTACAAATTTTGCCGACATTGGTTGGGATGAAGATAATAACAAAAAGTTTAGTTTCATCGAATTGCATGAAATGACAAGTGAAGCTAGTGGGAAAAAAATAATTCGTAGCCTTTTCCAGCGTTGGGTAATCAAAATTATCTTCTGTAAGATAAAGTGATTAATTTCCAACAAACATTTCAGGCAATCAAATTAGGTTAATAAAATAAATAAGGATATAAGCAGCATGAAGTGGCAGGTGTTGTGTGCGGCATTGACGGGGCTGTGCCTCGTGCTGGGGGGGCTCGCCCAGGGCCCCACGATCAGGCCCTGCGGTGCCCCCGCCACGACTGAGAACTTCAACGACGCCTACATTAGTAAGGTGAGTTCCTCAAACAATTGATTCGCCATCGCCACTTTTTTGATTGCGTAATTTCGTGATTCAAGATATTTCATTCTTCATGATTTTACAGAATTATATCCTCCTAAGTAATTGTAAAATTACATAATATTTTATGAATGTTTATAAAAGATTTAAATTTCAGTTAGCCAGCTTATTAAATCCTGGAGTTTGAGTTCCTTAAAAAGTTTGCGGCGATAATCCTATTGCAAATCGTGTGGTATTCAGTCAATATGTTCTACTCGATGGCTTTACGAAAAGACCGGACTGATGGTAAGGGTTTCCGGGTTTGATAATTTCTTCTCTGGTATAACTCTACCGTCTCACTGACAATTATCTCCGTGCCTCCTCTTCTCGTAGATCAAATGGAAATTAGGCACCTGGGGCCATACTTTCAAAACTCGCTAAGTGAACCTAAGTACTTACGCTTTACTTTCTTGTCTATGATTGGTGGATTTTGCTTGAAAGGCCGTCAATGATTGGCTGATGAACTTACGATCTCTTAACTTTTTTTTTTAAAGTATAGGCCCTGATCTCGCCGAGAGCATCGCCTCTGTGATATTATTCGTAATATGTAAAAATTATTTCGTTTTGGTATACCTGATAAGCATCGTATCATTAGCAACATCGAGTCTAACGATGGGCCGTATAGAGGATTTCAGCTTCCTCCTAAGTTTTAGCCTACGGTAAAATAGACTGAGCAAACTTGAGCCGAATATGTATCAATGTATAAAGTCAGATTGATATATTTTTAATTTCTACACAGAAGTAAATATGTTCAATCACGGCAACCTGCGCCAACACCAATGTATTTGATTTTATATTTTAATATGGGTAGAGGTGGAAAATCTCACGAGAAAATACATGAGCGTAATGTTTTTCGGCGTCAATTGATTTATTAATGATAAGCAAAACGCCCTAAAAGTTTTGGTAGAAATGTAGATTGAACTTCTAAGCAGCCTGACGGGATGCGACATGATTTGCTTGCGTATTCAATATCTAAATGTTGTCATTTTTTGCTATCGATTTAATAGATTATGCAATTATCTTCCTTGAAAGCTTCATGAGGAAGGTTTCATGGTGGTGATGGCAGAGGGTCAACAGTTATCCGACAAGCAGTTGAAGTTTTTCGACAACGGTACCTACCTCTGTGAATATATGGACCGGTAAGCGATTAGAAGAGAGGATTTGATAATGAGTTCCATACCTAGCATAAACATTTATATCATTAGACTCCATAATTCGTCAGTTCACCATGAACCTTTCAAAGTTAATTTGCATATATTAGATGTACATAATTTTAAAATTGATGCCTTATTCATGCATATAAGGATGTAATTCCAGTCCGGATGATTACTGTATGTATGGTTGGTGGTTTTCACACACCAACTGCACAGCTCTAAGAATTTCATAGATGTACCTTTATTCATTTGAGAATTTGGGGTTTCGGCAATAATTCATACTAACATCTGAGATCAAATGACTCGAAAAATTTTTTCCAAACTACACTCGAGTTTTTTCCAAACTTTACTCGGGCTAGAATAATTTGAAAGTTTTAGTCGTCTCGTAATTTGGTTTTCCGGTAATAAATAACAAAGATCTAAACTAAACGTCACGCAACTCAAAGAACTGATTAAAATCCTAACTGCGCAGTGGCCATAGAAACATCATCACTCAAAACCGAAAATCACTCACCGCGAGAAATTCATTCACTTACCAATTTTGCACTGGCTGTATGAATATCGTCGTTTACAGTTCAGCCATTTAAGAATTTGGATTTCTAGTAATAAAATTCAGGATTCAACATCGAATATAGCCCAGCTAGAGGAATTTCTCATTTCAAAAATTTCCGGCGCTCTACGAATTTTATAGCTGTCACTTAACATATTTTAAAAAGTGGATTTTCGGCAATAATTTGCATGATTTAAAACTGGATGTCCACTCAACTCAGAAATTCCTTCACTTCTTAACTTAGCGAGGTTTCTAATAATTTCATAGGTTTAGGCGTTTCAGAATGGGTCTCAACATGATCAACTGTAGCCGAATCATAGGCGAAACCATTATTTAGTGAGAGATCAAAGTACGTAATAAACTGTGACGCTCACAGGGCGGGGCGGTCAGCTCAGCACACAGGAGAGTACCGCGCGCAGGCTCACGCTGCCTCTGCCCCAGCCACCATAACGCTGCACTCCCTCCCCGCTGCGGGTAACATAAGCTTGTTATTCTAATAAGTTCTAGTCCGATCTTGAGATGGTTTTAGAGCACATTTTCAGAAAAGAATGCAATTGACTAAATATATGTGTGCTAATTATTTGAGAGATATTTTCAAAGTGGAAGTGATCCACGCACTATCTACACTCTACAGTAACACAGACGCATCTGCCATGCTGTCATGCAATACGGGTGTTTTGGAATTTTTTTTTGAGACGCAGAAGGGCTTGCTTGACTTTTTTGCCATAATTTTTAATCTGAATGCAACCTTCAAATGACGTAGAAAAACTAGTGACTCACATATGATTATTCGCAAAAGTTGCTCGCACGTAAGAGTACTTATACATCAGAAATCATATTGATATATGGTCGCCTTGGAAAAGTTGAAATACTTTTGTCAATGCTCATTGTCAATTGCAATGATTTTATTATACTGCTGATCTTAACAGAATTTGGAGGCGGGTCCGGCGCTGTAACGTTCAGTGTTATAAAGGCCGAGCATGGAGTTCTCGACTTGATATCCTGCAGCAGGGAGGGCCTTCTGTCCCGCGGTGAGTGACAATAGCAATTGTTATGTGGTGCTAACTGGTCTATATTGTTATGAGTTCCATGGTTGATGAAAATGGCTGCGTAACTAATTGACTTGTAGTAAGTACTATTGTTAAGACTATACTTATAGTTAGTATAAAGATAGTACCACTACTATGGTTACTATATTTTACTATTGTACAGTATAGCATATATATTAAATTGTATCCAATTTTATAATTGGTTGATATTCAGACCCTAATTAACTTGCGGAATTTTTCCAGAGCGAAGACACGTTCTGATCTCCACGAAGCTGCTTCGCTCGGCCACGCCTGCTGGGGACAGTTTGTACGCTTTCGCCTATGGCAACCTACCGAGCCATGATGTTAGGTTTGGTGAATTATTGCGATCAGGTAATGAGGCAATTGCAAGTCCAAGACAAGTGAATTTATCATTTATTCCTCTTGCAATCCTAGGCCTTCCAGCCGCCATTGCGGTTTGCCTGATATTTGCGTCCTACCCTGATATTTCCTCATGTTTTGCGGTCTATAAAGAGAACGTACGAAAAGTTATTTTCCCGTCTCAGCCAGTGGCACTGTTGTACAACACTGAGCCTGAATTTGTCCTCTCAATTCCAACATTCATATCGCCTCAGTATCAATTGAAGCATTGACATTTTATATACAGTCCATTGCCTCCTCAAGAAGTTGAATGAATTCCGTTCGCCGCTCAACGACAAAAAATGAAGCTATTGTACGATAATCTCGTTGCTTATCAGCTTTTTTGGTCCCTAACTTAAAGTCTGTTTCGTTTTAATATTTTCTCTTCCAGACAAAATTATCCATGGCCCTCATGGGAGTGAATATAACTTGTTTGTAATATTGATACTAATAAAACACTTTTCATATTGAATCGTTTGTTTTGAAAACCTAATACATATATACATACTCCTTCGCAAAGTTCCACACTAGAACTTTTAAGCAATATTCTTCTAGATAAAACTTGATCATTCAAATAAAATATAGAATATTCAAACGCAACCCACTTGATCAAGTTACAATTTTGATTAATGATACATGGACAGGAGCAATGTGATACATTTTAATGATATGAAAATGATACATTTCACAGCATCATACATAATGGAAAATGAGATAAGAGAGATAAAGCGTATTCATCCAGCTGGAGATGGACTATATATATAGCTCAGTAGAGCATTACTAGCACTCAAGGTCAAGTCATTTCTCGGGATAAAAAATGATATTCCACATTACGTTGGTCAAATCGTCCTTCTCTCGGTCATAACAACAATTTTAGTAAATACGATTAAAGCTTGTAGTGCTCGTTTTCTTTTTTCTGTTTGAGGAGATGACCATGAATTTGCTCCTCATTAATTGAAAAATTTAATGGAGCTGACGGCATTGAAATAAGAACAATTTTGTATACTTTAAAATCACAGATTCCAAATATTCTAGAACAATGATATTTTATGGGAATTTTCTTATAGAATTTATATCAGGACATCAATATAATTTGAAATGCAACGTCAATATTAGGTACATTCATTTCATTTATTTATGATGAGATTTTCATGTGCTATTCTATGGGCCTACTGATATCACTACGACGAAGGTGGAGGATACTTACAGTATATTTCTCATTTCGGCAATAATCATTTTCAAAACTCATTATTAAACAAGGTTTTTTTTATTACTTATATTTTTCATTTCAACAATAAACTCAAAACAAATAATTCTCATTTCAAAAACTCACCCTCAGAAACATAAATTACTGATTAGAGGTTTTTACCCACAAGGTTTTTTTAGATCTATAGTGTCACGTAGGAATATATATTCCTGAAACCAGGATGACACAATGTATGGATTTAGAAGCTGTGTAAACGCTTGATGGAACGATTACTTATATGACGAGATTATTGATCACTGATTACATTTACCTTTGCATCAACTATAAATATGAGCAACTAAATAACCTGCGCATCTTGAACGATCCCGTCTTATCCCCTCACTGAGCTAAAACGTATCCCTAAATATAGTGAACAAAAAACAATTCTCGAATCGACGATCCAGTATCCCTAATGTGAAGGATCCCATTTAAAATGTGTAGTTGATAAAGATATTTACGAGTTTAAAACAGCACAAGATGCATGAAAAAAATTTCAGATTAAGAGCATGAATTAGTAATTTGGAATTGACCGGACGCAAAAATTGCCTATGAACAAATATTAAAGCATTTTTTACGGATCCATTCGCAATACTTTTGTTGCATGAATATGAAGCGGTTGGTTGATGATGTCAATATCAAATTCCTAACCGGTTACAGAAGAACTGCTACGAGTGCTGAGCTGTAGAACCTGCTAATGGAATGTACGCCTAAGATTTTTTTGGTGCATCGAAACAATATGTTAGCCTTGTAACCGGTCCTCGTCAACAATTGGAAGCTTTGAGCTAAATAAAAAGTTCAGATAGAGAGAGTTTTTTTCACATTCCAAGCTATAAAAGTAGCAGCATGGAACGGACAAGCTTACTTCGTTCTGGTGCTTGTACACAAATGATCTATCCACTTTACACTATTCGACTAGTTTTTATTCAAGAACGATTCTATTTAACTATTTTTCATAGTGTTCTATAGTGCAAACAATTTTTTAAATAAGTCACTCCAACGAACACAAGTTTTTCCCTAAATAATGTGTCAGCTGAGAGTGAATTATAAGCTAAAGGTTAACTCAGGCGTGTTAAAAATATAGTGTTATTGAAGATGGCTCATCGTGTATACATTCGATCACTTTGTAGTGGAAATAGATAGACTTTGTAGATCAACTTTGATCATAGAACAAAGTACTTAAATTACAGGAAATCTTCAAGGCAGAGCGCGTGAAGCCCTTGATATTGTGTTAACTGTATATTGTCTTATCCACTTTCCCAGAACAGTCAGTGCGGGCCTCCACGTCTCGCCCATTATTGGTCTTTGTTTTGCGTAAAAATTCAGCGAAAATATTGCTGAAACATTTTGTTAAAATGTTGTTAGTTTCTCGTTTTTACACTGTTCACATTACACCCTACTGTTAACACTGTTAAAAACTTAAAATTTAACAATAGCACTGTTCACAATACACTAAAAAAATCAACATCTGGGATCCAAGAACAATTCCATGTACTTATCCAGAGCAAAAAAATCCGTCAGAAAAGTAAAATAAAATGCCGAATGAAATTAAAATCAATATGAAGTTGAGTGCTGTGCTTATGATCTGTTCAATAGAGGGACATTAGCGTGAAAAATCACGATATCCACCGTGAGTGAAGACTTCAAAGGTTTCTATATTTCGGACTTCTATCGGAGATGATTGGATTTCACTTTGAATATGAGGGAAATGATTGTTGATTGTAGGAAATAAATTCAGTTATCGTCCAGTTAACAGTTTAGCTCACCCAAACAAATTGGATTTCAATATTTTTTGTATATCGATTAAATCGTATGTTTAACAGATTTGACTTGGGACCGGAATAAAATTCATTTTAGGACATCAATTATTATTAGGAGCATCATGAATTGGTCATTTCAATGCTCTTTATTGGTGGGACTGCGCCTCGTGCTGGGAGGGCTCACCCAGGGCCCGACGATCCAGCCCTGCACGGTCCACAGCACGGCTGAGAACTTCGACGAAGTCTACATTAATACGGTAAGTTCCATAATCATTGGTTCATTATAGTCACATATCCCATTAATTCGTAAGCCGCTGCAAGAGGTTTAAGCCATTTGAGCTATTCGGTCACAATTTGGTCGTAATTAAAGTTGACCTACGTAAATGTCTGCTCTAATCTTTGACTCAGAAGTAGGCATTTGCGCCTGAATAAAGATAGCGATGTAACAAGAAACCTGCAATGAAGCCATGTTTAGATGTTTCTATACACAGAAAAATGATTATCACAGCTGTTAACAATATTGGCTTGCATGCTGCCGAAGGAAATTTCGATGATCCATTCATGTCTTTCTCAGCTAATGAAAAATGTAAATGATGGTCCTGTCGTTTTCGCTTTTATTGATTTATTCAAATAATTTTTCTTTTGCAGCTCCCCCATGAAATTTACACGGTTTTACTGGCAGATGGTCGGCCGTCATCCGACATGTCCGATATGCAGTTGGAGTTTTTGAATAACGGGACCTACATCTACACATACATCGACCTGTGAGTTATTAGGAAAGTGGACAATAACAGATAAGATTCTCGGCAAAATCAAAATTGAACGAATGAAGTAAACCAATAGCTTTTGATGATGTTGCTTTCGGAAATGCTAATGTTTTACCATTATTCCGTGAGATGTTAAATGCTAATGTTTTACCAACGCTCGCAGGACGGGGCGGTCTGCTCAGCACACGGGAGAGTACCGCGCGCAGGCTCACGCTGCTTCTGCCCCAGCCACCATAACGCTGCACTCCCTCCCCAGTGGAGGTAAAAAGTGCCTATTACTTAACTAAAAATTCTGTCGACACTATCAAAGTATTTGTTAAATGGATTATCAGCGTAAACTTTAGCAATAATAACAATATCAATGGAATATGCAAACAAAAGACTTACAGAACTAAGAAATTTCAGGGCCCCTGAAGCATCCAAGTGAACTATCATTGCGTTTTTTAGCCAAGCTTCAAATCATATATATGTCATTTAAAATAAGTATGGATCGCGGAGGAATAAATTTAACTACTCGTCTTCTCAGCATTCGGCAGTGTATCGGGCACTGTAACGTTCAGTGTCATAAAGGCCGAGCGTGGAGTTCTTGACTTGATCTCGTGCAGCAGGGAGGGCCTTCTGTCTCGCGGTGAGTAGCAGCTTACTAAAATTTGCGTCGATTGTCACTCACTTCAACATAGATGAAAACTGCAATTCAATTTATAGAGAGTATAACTTGCCTGATTAAATCTAGTTTGATTATAATGAGTTACAATTATAACTGAAGATTAGCTTTTATCACCGAGAAGTGCCGGTAAGTAATAAGTTCAATTTTTTCCAGCGCGAAGATACGTTTTGATATCCACGACGCTGCGTCGCTCAGTCATGACGGCTGTGAACAGCATATTCTCGGCAGCCACTGGAATACCTAACACAAATAATAATGATTTGATTTATGAGTTATTACGGTCAGGTAGTGATGATACAGCAAGTTCAAGACAAGCAGATCTAGCTTTAAAAGTTTTTGCAATTACAAGCATTCCTTTATTTGTTATTAGGTGCTTATTCTTTAATCCAAATGAAGATCCTGGCACTTGCTTGTCAACACACAAAAATTTGGTAAAAGGTGTTTTCTTCCCGACTCAGCCACCAGCATTGTTCTACTACAGCCAACCTGACATTACTTACTACCCTTACCAGCCACCTTATGTCGGGCACAGTATGATCCAGCATTTTGCCTTCAGTCCTAAGCCCGCTAAAGAAGTTGTGAGTGTTCCATACTCGGCTCAGCAGACCCAAAGCTTTGAGAATCAGAAGCAGAACAAGCTCGTTGGAAGTCCACTACTTTCTGGCAATCAAAACTTGGGGCAATATAACCTTTTATTGAGAGGCTAAAAATTATCCGGTCAAACAACTATGAAACATTAAAAATAACTAGTGTAGTGACGCTTGTTATTCATCGGGTCCGTTTCGATTTGTGAGAGGTTCTCAAAAGGTTGCCGAGCAGGAACAATTTATCAAAACAAAACCAAAACAATGGTTAAAGTTACTCAAATAAAAAAAGAAAAAAGGCTAATATTTCTAATCTTATATTTCATCTTATATTTCACTTTAGAACGAAAATGTTTGCCCATGGTTATTGGTACCACGATTAATGTACATGTCTCAATGTCGCTACTGAGATGACAAGTTTCTCATTGCTGGATCACATGTTGGCAAGATATTTATCACAAGAAACTATATAAATACAACGTATATGAAAAATGTTATTCATTTTCTAATTGATTATACCCAAAATATAATGAAATTATTGTGAAGAGTGGGATTCTACCTTTACCACAAGCTCAACTATTAGAAGCCTACGTTGAGAGAATCCCATGGCCTGCGAAACAGGAAATTGGTTCCCTTTCGTGTCGAAATTCATTCAAAATTAAAATGTGCCATTTAACAAAAATGATTTTCGCAGGATTTAATCCATGTAATTTCAAGATAATTGACGAAATCCTTGAAATTATCAAATTGTGAAGAAATAAAATTCTTGAAAAAAATAAACCCAAAGTCAATGATAAATTTTCATTCGCGTAAAATTCTTACAAAAGAAGTCATCCTAACGAAGGGTTCTCTTCGGGCCTCGAGTTATGGAGCTGGAACACAACTTGAGTACTCGCTATAAATTCTGGGGAGTCGGATTTCCTAATGATGATATAGATTTAAACTGATTTATATAAATTAAAACTGATTGTCAACATAAAGTGGCACGTAAACATTCCATGCATGTAGGATTGCAGGTGAAAGTACTCGAGTGAACATACTGAATGAAATTCTCAATTTGTCGAATATAGTACATCAATCTTTTTAACGAGTCAAATGTAAATGTTAGTGTATATAAATCACGAACTTATAAAGCTGAAATTTATATAAAAAATATAAGCAGTTCAAGCAAAATAAGACATATAGCGGATAATTAAAATGCGACAATATGTCTCTTAATTAGTATTACAAAGATTTGCTGAAAAACAGGTGGCTTGCGGAATAGTTGTCTGTGAGAGCATTCGGATGAAGTCTCTTTGTAAGTATTAGAATGTTTTATTTGTTTGGTAACGCGTGCATTAACAGAGATGCATTTCCAAAAATACATCAAATAGCTGTCTTCTCAAGATTACGCACATTGACGGTGCAGCTATAACTGTCAGGTTATAGGTAGGACTGTAACTTTGCTTGCTCGAAAATATATACTGAGCAAAGCTAGAGCACATACTGAACTGAATAAAAGAAATTGTGCAAAATAGTGTAAGAAGTAATTTATTTATAACCCTCAATACGATGCACGGTTGTTGTAGCCACAAAAGTGTCCCGGTCGTATGTTGTATCACGAGATCACTAATGGAAGCAGCGGTCGCGCGTGGAATCACTCCTACGTTAGAGGCAGCTTAGCATTTATTTCACCCATACCGTGAAACCATAGCTAAGTCCCGCTGTCATAAATCAAAACTCAAAAGAAGCATACGGCAAGAATCAGGAAACAATTAGCATTGTAAATAATAGAGCTTGAATTCTCTCCGAAAACATTCTATACCAGCGCGAGGCATTTCGTAGACTAACTAGAAAGCACAAGTCATTTTAATGAGTCTTCGAACGGAATTATAATATTTTGAATCGGCAACTAACATTCAGCGAATGAAAGTGTCATAGTAATTCTTTCAAGTTCCATGTATGAATTATATTAACGGTATTCTGTCTCAACTTCAAAATTTCCGCGATGACCTTTTTCAGCGATGGCTCTGGAGCTAAAGTATGATTATTTTATTGCTAACATAGTTTTACTCTTTCCATAATAGGATTATTGAGGTATAGAATTATTTCTACCTGAATTTCATGTAAGAATATCATGCGAGACAAAAATGTTATGTAAGAATATCATGCGCGACAAAAATTTGGATTCGAGTGCAGGCTTCTTGAAGATGAGCGCGCCATAAGGCAGGTCTTTGAACTGAGTACAGTGCGCATTTCAAGGTGAAACAAATATGAACGAACGATTCGTCGAGAACACCCGAGGGTCTCTGACCGAGGCTCATGAACTCTATATCCTTCAGTCTACCCTTCAAAGCCTGGAGCTAAACAGGTACCAGGGCCTATAATCAAACACAAATGCAGGATGTAATAGTTGCTTCTTTGGCTAAGGTAGTGATACAATATATTCAGTAGAGTATAGAACTGGAAGATTAACGATTGTTTGATTAACCTTTGACAAATAGACCAGAAAAGAAAACATCTTGAGAGAAGAGTAATATTTTATTTCGCCCCTCTGACATTACCAAGCATTAGGAAACATCAGAAGAAGCCATTGCATAATCACAGTTGTTATTTGATATTGCTAGGAGCCAAATAATATTTTTTTGATACCCTGAGTGTACTCAGGGGATTTATCAACTACAAAATTTTTGACGTGTTATCATTTTGAAAATGTGAAAAGAAAATTCATATGAACTATAGGGCAATTAAGTAGTTCGCGGGTACATGTGGGTGCTCTTCTCCAAATAATACCGTGCCACGAAAGGCAGAGGTTCCATTTATATTTTTATTTAGGTGTAGGAAGAATGTGATTGGATGCAATTTGAGAGTTAAACAATACATTTGTGACTTTATTTTTAATGATAAAACATGAGAAAATTGGAGACAAAAAAGAGTTATTTTTTCACAGTACTTCTAACATTTTTTGTCGCCAACTGCTCACATAAAAAATATTTGGTTTCGATAAGCCCAGTCTTCGTAAAACGATAAAAGTAACTGCAGGGACATGGTAATGCTGGTTAAATTATGATTTTCTGCAAGTTACGTATGAAACTAAATCTTCACACGGAGGATGATAGTGCCACGATAGTTGAATTTGTAACGTGAAGGCGGAATAAGATTATCTGCAATTTGAGAGACATGCAAAATGTTGGTAACATAGTTTCGAAGTTGAATAAAAAGAAATATTCCCACATTAATTTTTATGACACCGACTACCAAATTACTTTTTGTGCATGTTGGAAGATTTCAAAATTTTCGCCATGTTTCCTTAAGCGCTCATACCGTTCTTTGTCTTTGAATGCTCAAAAAAAAAAAAAAAAAAAAATTGTAGGCGCCGATTGGCAGAAGCCGGCCCTACAACCAGTCCAGTTGAACTCGGGAGACATAATAATAGCTAAACATTTTTTGCGGCACTCTTAGGATATAAAGGCAGGCGCTGTAGCAATGAGTAGTCTACTTCGTCCTGGGGTTCAAAGGAAAGGTATCGCTATTGTGGACGTTGCTATTACCTTGGTTCAATTTTAATGGTGATTATATTGTTATTATAGAGTTAGTATTTAAAAGAGTTACTTTATTAATCTACATAAAGAGTTTTTACGAATGAATTACTTCCTAAAATAATATTATCACTGCATGTTTCTTTCTATTTATTCGGTTCAATATAATTAAAAACTCGGGCGATTAGAATTTTATTATTTCAAAAATATGGTAATAATTTGTAGGGTCGCCTTATCTAATTCTATAATTTCCAAGGTCGCATTGTGAAGTCTGTGCAGTGCAAACGAAGTGCATTAACCAGCAGCGTCTTTCGCTTATCACAGAGCTTCCTGGTTCCACTGATGGTTGCTCCACAGCTAGCGCGTGCAATAATTTAATAAACATGGACAGTACTAGAAAGGACTTTATTGCTATCACATCGATGACAAATATATATTAAAGTTTTTAGGAATTAGGTGTTAAAAATGTGCAATTCCTTCTTAACAAGCTCTAGATAAACGCACATTGCAGTGAGGTAAAACTTGTGCCCTGGCTCGATTCATTGTTACTAGCTGTTGCGTGGTATATATGTTAGAAAAGTAATATTAAAATTAGTATAAAAATTTACATTGGTTACGTACCTGTTACGCAGCTTAAGTAATGCCTTGGGATTAGGACACCAGAGCCTATAGAAGGAAATTTAGGTGTTTTTTTCGCGATTCGGCCACTCAAAATCATTAAGCGTAACTGCAGCCATTAAAACAGAAAATACACCACTACAAAAGACGTTTCAAAATCTTTTGTTAATATTCTTGTTTATCAAACTATTTTCCATTACTGCGCAGACATATAACACATAATTACGAACTGAAGCAGCATGAAGTTTCAAGTGTTGTGTGGGGCATTGACGGGGCTGTGCCTCGTGCTGGGGGGGCTCGCCCAGGGCCCCACGATCGGGCCTTGCAGCGCCCCCAACACGACTGAGAACTTCAACGACGCCTACATTAGTAAGGTGAGTAGAAAGTCAAGGATCGCTTAGCTCGTACTTCGCACTCAGCTCGCAATTCTCTTTTCACTTAGCTCGTAATTCTCTGTGCAAAAAAAATGAACTCGTTGCAAACTCTTTATTACGAAAATTCGTAGCATCAGATGAACTCAAAAGCTGAAACAAATTCGAATGCAAATGCCGAACATAAACTAGACACATGAAGACTAAGTACAAAACGGAATGAATTTGCGACTCGACAAATATTGCAAAGTCCATTTTGTTTGTAACAAATAAAATAAATATATAAACACAGGCTTAGTTGAAAAACAAAAAAATTCTGTAATCTGCCAATGTTGACTTCATATGAATTGCATTTATATCATTCAGCCGGAACCTAACAATATTGGCTGCATAATTATTACATTAAATGCAGAAAAATACAGAGTACAAATTTGTAATGACCATTTTTATATTCTATAATATTTTTGCTATCTTAAATCAGCGCCAAGCCTGTAGCATTACGCTGCTACAGCGCGGACTGTAATGTGAAGCTACTGTTGCAGCGAGGACTGTTATGTCACGCGACTGTTGCAGCGCGGACTGTAATGTCACGCTACTGTTGCAGCGTGGACTGTAATGTCACGCTGCTGTTGCAGCGCGGACTGTAATGTCACGCTACTGTTGCAGCGCGGACTGTAACGTCACGCTGCTGTTGCAGCGCGGACTGTAATGTCACGCTGCTGCTGCAGCGCGGACTGTAACGTCACTCTGCTGTTGCAGCGCGGACTGTAATGTCACGCTGCTGCTGCAGCGCGGACTGTAACGTCACTCTGCTGCTGCAGCGCGGACTGTAATGTCACTCTGCTGCTGCAGCGCGGACTGTTATGTCACGCTGCTGCTGCAGCGCGGACTGTAATTTCACGCTGCTGTTGCAGCGCGGACTGTAGTGTCACGCTGCTACAGCTCGGCCTGTAGCGTCACGCTGCTATAGCGTAGCACATAGCGCCACGCTGCTATAGTACAGCCTATAGGAGCTCAAGCACTTTTCATTCATGATTGAACATATGATAAATATTGTTCAGTGCATCGTGTGCTCACCTTCGGGCAAATAATATTCAGAAGTCGCCCCAATGGCCGCTTGATTTGACCACGAAATTTTGTAGCAAAGTTTACAGTTGTTCTGCCACAAGTTCTATTCAAGGATGTTTTATAACGAGTGTGATCAGAAATTTCTCTTCATAATCACTTCTTCTCCTACAGCTCCTTGACGAAGATTACCAGATTGTGCTGTCGGATGGTCAACTGTTAACCGAGAAGAAGTTGAGGTTTATACGTGACGGTACATACATCTACAAATACATTGATGGGCAAGTACCTAACTTAAATCAGTTTCAAGTGTATAAACGCTTCTCACTGCCTGTCTTAAATTAGATAACTGTAACCGAACAATAAACCATAATCCTAAAGAACTATGAATGAATGAAACAAAGGCGAGCTTTTAGTTAAAAGCGACCTGGATAAGGCAATGCAATCTTTCCATAATATGCTGAGGACAACTAACTAATAAACTATCTCGCTCGCAGGGCGGGGCGGTCTGCTCAGCACACAGGAGAGTACCGCGCGCAGACTCACGCTGCCTCTGCCCCAGCCACCATAACGCTGCACTCCCTCCCCAGTGGATGTAAATCTCGTCTCATATTCAACAAGTTCTAGCAATTTTTCAATTAGAATATAAAGCTAGCAAGTCGCATATTCAATATGCAACTTTCTAGCAAGTTGCATATTCAACAAGTTCTAGCAAGTAACAATTTTTGGTCATGCTGAGAGAGGATGTTTGAAGTCAAAGAGGTGAGGAGGGCATGGTAGGCGTCCCAATGGCTGTTCAACATTGCGTTCAATGGAGTTAAATGAAGCATTTTGTCCTAATTTGACATGAGAGAAACTGTTTGATTTTTACAAAATTTAGTTTATACTGAACTTGATGTAAATTTTATTTAATTGAATTGATGTAACTACATTTTTATGACATATGTCACGAGAATATTTTTTATGAATGATTTAAATAATGATAATTCGCTATTAAAGTGAAAACTTTAGCACCAAACAACATAAACAATAAAGTAGAAATATATTATTTTATTGCTCATCTGAATATAACAATGTAACGTGACGAAAATAAACACGACGAGAACCTTTGCGGCACTCTGTTTCACAGGAATAATAGCTGGAGTATTAAAAAATATAATTCCTCAGGTGTCTACACCATTTTGATATGCTACTGCATTAGTAAAAGTCTAACAAACTAATACAATTTAGGGAAACCTATTTCTATTTGAAATCTCCACAGCATTCGGCAGTGTATTGGGCACTGTAACGTTCAGTGTTATAAAGGCCGAGCAGGGAGTTCTTGACTTGATCTCGTGCATCAATGAGGGCCTTCTGCACAGAGGTGAGCAGTAACAATCTTGTAACCATGTGGTCATGTTTTGTCTGGAATTTTTATTCTAAATTGAAATTTAAGTTATCAACGGGATATTGAAAATTTAAATACATAACCCGATAACAAATTTTGTCAGCAGCAATATTTGTCATAAATAATAATTTATGTCTTTTCAGAAACAAGTCACGTCCTGATCTCTTCGACGCTGATGAGCTCAGCCAGGACTGCTGGACTTAGTTTGTTCTCAGCAGCAGGAGGCGCTACGAACATACGTCAGGAAGTTGTGTTTGATGTTTTTTTAGAACCGAAACTGGCGATGCAGCGAGTCTGCGGCAAAATAACAATACATTTCTTAATGCAACAATAGCAATTTATGCTCTTGCAGCCTTACCTCTAGTAAAAACAGCCTGCCTGCTTTTTTACCCTGATTTCCAAACTTGCATTACACCTTATAAAAATTTGATAACGAGTCTTATATTTCCGTCTCAGCGTGTGGCACTGTTGTATAACGCAGAGCCTGTGTTTACTAATCCTGTTCCAAGAATTTCATGGGCGCCCTACGCTCCCCAGCAGTCAGCTGTGGGACAAAATTTAGTCCAGCATTTACAACTTAGTCCCTGGCCAGCACCAGAAGTTCCTATTGCTCCATACTCAGCTCAAGGTGTTCCATACTATGCTAAAATTGTTCCATCCTCTCCTCAAACTATTCCATACTCAACTCAAGGTGTTCCATACTCTACTAAAAGTGTTCCATACTCAACTCAAGGTGTTCCATACTCTACTCAAACTATTCCATACTCTACTCAAAGTGTTCCATTCTTTGCTCAAAGTGCTCCATACACTGCTGAAAGTTATCCGTACTCAGCTCACAATGTTCCATATTCTGTTCAAACGCCCCTGAACTTTCCGAATCATGAGTCAAATTATTTTGCGAAAAGCCCACTACTTATTGGCCGTGCAACCCAACCCAACTCATGGCAGTACAACTTCTTCCAGGGATAGTAATATCTGGCTGCCTGGAATAAATTGCAATAGTTAATGATAATAGTTCTACTTTAGAGCAAAGTCTTGCTTTATAAAGTTTTGGCTTTTATTCATGTGATATTTTAGAATTCGATTAATCGATACAAGCACCAAAAGAAAGAGGCGAAATAATTCGCAAAAAATTGTTCTATGAAAGGTAGAAGTGAATCTCGTCTTGAAAAAAATGGAGGAGATGTCGAGGGATGCAAAATTACATTATTTATTAGAACGTTATTTAATGTAATGACTTGTTACCGATCTTTATTAGGTAGTTATTCAACCCGTATAAAAATGAAGTTCTAATATTCGAAAATAAAACAAAAATTACAACAATGTGGAAAAAATAATTAGACTATGTTAACATTAAGCCGAGACATATGTCATTAAAAAGTCGGAGACATTTTTGTGAGACACATTCTATTGATAGTGGCTTTCTATTTTATATAGGAATAAGTGGTGTTTCGTGAGTAGGTTTGAAATAGAGGATGATATGTTCTGGTTTTAGTAGCAATGGGCTTCGGTGGCGTTCGATATGCCAGTGTTGTACCCAGTGGTCTGGGCGTTGTCTCAATTATTTTATGGTGCAGGGTCTGATTATGTGGGTATTGTGTGTTGTGATAGTGATAGTTTGTAGGGGGGCCCGATTCTCTGTATAAGATCTGCAAGTATAAATATTTATCTACATGGGTTTGCCGAAATAGTGGCTATATTATGGGTATGCGGTTGGAAGAGTTATGGGCCCATGTTCACTTGTTAAATATGAGCAATTGTATTGTTAAAGGATGTCACTTCGGGCCTGATTACGGTTTGTTTTACTTGATGATTCTGATTGAGCGTGCATTAAATAAATTTTCAATATGCGTCAAACTGAGGCTTACAAAGCATATCCTGTTTTATCGCAAGTGCTATTTTGTTTATGTGTGCTGCTTTCTTTCATGCATATAATTTTTAGGGCAGACAATATTATTTGCACAGTAAAATCCGATAGATCAAAATACGTATAAAATATGGTTCTCGTAAAGTCATTACGCGCCTCAAGATGTTAGCTTGAACGAAGTAGGAGCAAAATAGTTTTTCTACTCCCTACTGGTCCAGTAAAAAATTTTCGATAGGTATATCAGAGGGCAATGAAAATATGAATTTGCCAAAGACAGCATTTGTTCAATAATTAGTAGCTATACAAATTCTAGCACAGACTAGTAACTACTAGTAGTTCATTTTAATGCATTTACTAAAAAATTTTTTATGCTCTTCCCATGGATATTTTGCAGGGTAATGCATAGGGCATTAGGGCAAGACATAGCTTTTTAAGTATGTTTAGGAACTGTTGAGCATAGGTATGAAAAAAGATGCCAATATCAATCAGTAATTTATTGATTTGCCTTTGAAGATTTCGTGCACATTACGTAGGTGAACTTTAAATACAGCCTCAACGCGAAGGTTGATACCACTGCTTCTTTTGGTAGTTATGTAGGAGAAGAATTTGATAAGCTGCAATTTGAGGGTCAAGGAACACTCGAAAGGAAATTCTGCAGTTTTTGTAACATGCTTATACCAGTTTTTAATCCAACTGCTTCATCAAGAAGTTGTTGGGGTTGGTTATCACAAGCCAGCCACACAACCAGTCCATTTGAACTTGGGGAAAAAAGACCACAGGCTATAAGCTTTTTGTTGCGCTCTGAAGATATTAAGGAAGTAGCATCATGGAAGAAAGCTACATGGTTCGGTGGCTGAAAATATAACTAGCGGGATAATGGACGCTGCTGTTACATTTATAATTGTAATTTTTAATGCATTCAGTACCCAACTAATACTTGCAAACCAATTTCATCACAAAATAAAATAATCATTATCGTTTATTTCATTTCGGACTGATTTAAGTACCAATGTATGCAACGATTAGCGTCGCTTAGTGTAGAGAAATCAAAATAGTACTACATAATTCTCTACATAATTCATATGTAGTCCATAGTACTACATATAATTCTCTAATTACGTACTACAGCATAATTCTCTTATTTAAAAGAATAGTGATCCGTCAGGTCACTACGCAATTTATTATAAAATAGAATCAAATTTAATTTATTTACATTGATAATCCGTGTAGTAATCAATTTTCATTGCGCGGACTTCATAGGAGACTGCATATCAATTATGATTAAAAAAAGCATGAACAATTTTTTTCGTATCCCAGCTCTTTACACATCGCACACTTCAGTCATTTAATACAGGAATGCGAAGCGGGGCGCTCACAAAAAGTTACATGGGAACTCAAATTGATTTAGATATCAGTATGTCATGTCTGGATGTTAAGTTTCGAAATTTGGAATGGTTTTCATAATTTGGTCTGAACAGATTTAAAAACCCATGCGAGCACGCGGACGACAAATGTAAAATGGCGATATTAGACGCCGGTTTTCAAGTGGTAAAACATTTGAAATATACTGAATACGGATGAAGACGTCTATATATGTTTTCTAAGATAAATATTCGACTGATTTTTTTGTAGGTTTATGCAGGAAAATATCACATTAATATGAAAAGAAGCTGCACGAAGAGACAAGTGTTGATGTCGCTGTTTGCTCAAATCGCAAGTTTGCTCAAATTTAAAAGCAAAGAAAACTTCACAAAAAATTTATATCTTATAGAAAACGTTTCGGAGTCCAGCTACATTGTCAGTTAGTAGAATGGCAAGTGTTGTGTTGACGGGGCATTGGCGGGGCAGTGCCTTGTGCTGGGGGGGATAGCACGGATGGACTGTTGACGAAATCAATGAAAAGTCAATTTCGTGTTAAAATTAAATATAAAAGTATTTGACCTTATCGATAGACTGGTATATAGGATAACTTTGAAGGCGGAAAATGGCTGAACAGATCTCAGATTGTTCAACACACAGTGCGCACGTTACAACGAAAATAAAGTTAAAAGAATCGGTAAAAAACGGTTCGTTGACCAGGCCGCATAAACTCTATGGTCTACCCTAAAAAGTTGAGAGACCACGTACTGTGCGCTATTGCCATGGTGCGCGCTATTAAATTGGGCTCACGGGCACCGAGTGTGTTCGAGTATGGTACACCGAGACAGGACATTTTTCAATTTATTTTACAACTACCAAAGTCCAAAAGCCCTATACTACAGATTGCCAGTTATATAAGCCATTTCTTAACTGATTGACAACTTACTTGCATCAACTTCCAAGTATTTCTACCATCTTGCTATAAACCTGATTCTCTATCCCTCATTGGTTTGTATATGAATATCGTTAAGCGCGAATTTCGTTTTGTTCATTTTTTGATCTATTAAATCCATTTATTTAATCTGTTGGGAAGTTAGACTTAGTTTAAGGCTTACAATTTCAAATTAATTCTAATTAATATTTTCATATTGTAAATTTACTCATAACTTATTCCAATTCAAATCAATCAATTAAATTTTTAGTAGTCTCTGCTCACGAAGAGCGTTACTGTATTACGTTACCTGCAAAGATCACTCACTCTTCAAACTTTAGCCTTAAGTCTTTATCTCAGATTTATAAAGCATCAAAACCTTTTACTCTTCTGCCTATTTTTCCCGTCCAACTACCTCCCTTTACACTGATTTCAGCTATTTTCCTCCGATTAGTCTTCCTTCATAAAGTGATCACCACACTGGGCTTCTAAACCTCAAGGCCTATACTTTCAAACAAAGTTTCAAGAGATCGTATGTTCATGAACCAATCATTGACGAACTTTTAAGCAAAATCTACCAATTCCTGGACAATGAAAATTGAGCGTAAGTACTTACGTTCCCTTATCGATTTTTGAAAGTATGGCCCCAGGTTCGTAGTGTTTTCAGTGCAAAAGTGATATTTTGATCTTTCATTTTAACCGTAATGTGTTTACCAGGGCATTTTTGCAAGATGAATAATTAAAATTTATTTCTTCACTGTTTACATTAATCAGATCCTGAGACTAGCCGGCCTAAATTTATTTCCTACTTCACCCATTCGTCAACGTGTTCTTCCAACCCGTCACCTTCAATTTCTTGTTTACGCATTCTGCATTTTAGGATTTGGCTCGTAAAGGCTGAACTTTGTCCACATTACGTGGAAGCAAATCAACTTCAAATTAAAAGCAAAACCTTGTTAAATAAATTAAAATAAAAGTTTCCTTGATTTTTTCTTTAGCCTACCACCCTATCGATTGTGTGAATACCTCACATTTTTGTAGACTTTTGTTGTATATATCGTTCGCTTAGTGCGTGTGTGTCGTATGCAAATTAGTTACAGTCAATTTCAATCTACTCACTTGATTTTATCTCGATAGCGGCTAACAAATTGCTTGGTTGAAGGAAATATTTAGTAGAATTTTTAGTTAAAAATTGTTTTCAGAGAATTTATACTCATTTTAAGTTCTTAATTCGTTCATGCGTGTCATGAAGTATTTAACTTATCTTGTTAACACCATGTCCAAAACTAATTCATAAGCAATTACTTTTACCATTATTAGTTTGTTTTTTAGAAATCAATTTGAATAAGACAAGAACGAGAAATGGCGTATTCAAACCCTATTAAAACCCTAAACGAATATAATGTACAGCATATAAAACAAACTTAATATTTGGGTAGGCTTTGGGATAACTCTAAAGGAGGAAAATGGTCAGATCATGGTTGCTTTCGTTGTGCGTATGTTACGTCGAAAATAGAGTTGAAGTTATCTGCGAAAAATGAAGTCGTTGACAGAGCTGCAAGCACTCTACAGTCTATCATACTATGAATGATTTGTTCCCTCTAAAAACTAGTAGGAATAAATGAAATCGAAATAAATATTTCGGAAAATGAATCGATGAGTGGGCCTTTCAAGAGAGTTAGTAAGCCATTAGCTATCTGAAGTTCTCCTCCGCTATTCTCACAATTGCCGTGCATAAATATTGCCGAACATTTATGAGTTGCTTTGAATTTTTTGGGTATGTCAATTAGGTCATGCTAGCCTAAAAATCGGTGCAAAAAAATAAAAAAAGCAATGAACAGGTTTAGGAACTTTTTGCTGCACTCAGACGATATAAAAGCAGAAGCAGCAACAGAAAAAAAACTACTTCGTTCAGAGGGCTGACGAGGAACATACGTACGAGTGAAAATGTACATGGCCGTTGAATTTCCAGTGAATTGAACTTCTGAAGTGTTTTTCAATGCAGTTGGCTGATTTTCATAAGATAATTATAGAGAATATTGTGAAATTATGTACATTGAAAATTGTTTGAACTTTCTTAATTCGTCAGTATTCAGATTATTATGAGTACATAGAAAGCGATAAATTGAATGTCATATTTGCATAAAAAATGTTGAATTTTTATTGAGTAATGAATTTTCCAGAACGATTTGCATTTAAAATAAGAATGCTAGCGGTCAGAGTTTTAAATACACGGTTATGAGAATTTAATTCAAGTATTCAATGATGTTTAGAGTGAATTTAAATTCAAATTTATCGAAGACGCTCATATTGGGAAGATGGCAGCGTAAATGCAAAGCGATGAAACGAGTAGAAACATTCACTATTTTCCAGAATGCTGACTCAACTGCCGGCTGCGCCTAAATTCTATGCCGAAATAATTCGCGAGTTATCAATATACTAATTTCTTCATATGATAGAACATCATAATTTTATCGACAGATCATGAATATTGATCCACGAAAAGAAATAAGTTACTAGCATTATGAAGAGACCGAAATTGTCTTGCGCATTGACGGGGCTGTGCTTCGTGCTGGGGGGGCTCGCCCAGGGCCCCATGATCGGGCCCTGCAGCGCCCCCAACACGACTGAGAACTTCAACGACGCCTACATTAGTAATTAAGGTGAGTGAAATATTGTGGTTTTAATGGCTGTGAGATATGATTTTTCTTCTTAAATCTTGTACTCAATTCCGAAGTGATACTATTTGCCTTTTGGACATGAAAATAAGGCACAATTATTAAAACTATTTCAGCATAGTCTGGAATTAAAGTACTGTTTTATTAAATGCCAGAAATTATTAGCACCTTTGGATTGAATCAGGTAAAAAGAATTTGAATGAATTAAGATGCAGTTCGTCTACCTGAGTTCACTCAAGCTTCCGTAAACACTCGAGCTGAGTATAATCGTCATTAAAACTCACGAAAGCAGTTACGTATATCATCTCCCATTCATTTATGATTCTCAAATTTCCTACAATGTTTGTTATACTGAACTTGAACTCCTACCTAATGTCTTGATTTCATTGAAAAATGTTGCTACATAGGAACCAGAAAACGTTCGCTCTGTTGCTAAATGTTTTTATACAAGATCGGTATAGAGGGTTTATGATGAAAAGCTGTAACTGATTATTATTTATCGATTTATAGGCCAGACTGATAAAAAACGATATATACGAAATGTTTCTTTTGAATCTTCAAGTTTTCTGTTCAAATAAAACTCATGAACTATGTTTTGAAGAACATTATTATGAGTTACTAATTTTGTTTACACTTATTCTTCACAGCTCATTGACGGAGAGCACATCGTAGTGCAGTCGGCAGTCGAGCAATCATTTGACAAACTATTATAGCTTGTTTCCAACCTCACTTACATTTATAAATGCATTGATCGGTAAGCAATATGTAATATGACATTCATGGAATATAAATTTCATACTATTGAAAACACGTCACTTATTATTAAAACTTACAAAATATCACACAATGATAAACTCTGGCTTCTTGATGAAACCACTGAATTGCTGTCGAGAGCATTTGAGACAAGCACCTAGGAAAATTCATAACAAATTTGGTTCACTAAATATTCTAAAGAATGAACAATATAACTGGCAGGGCGGGGCGGTCTGCTCAGCACACAGGAGAGTACCGCGCAGGCTCACGCTGTCTCTGCCCCAGCCACCTTAACGCTGCACTCCCTCCCCGATGGAGGTGAGACATGGATAATTGCTTTACTTTTCTTTGAACGAGTCTTCTTTTTTACAACACTCCTATTTAATTTCAATTCTTGTTGTTCGTTAGCTTGTTTGTCTGCTACAAATCTTATAAGCGATATTTACCACACTTCTACTTTTCCAATCGGTCTGAAATTTTGCACACTTGCTTAAAATCGGACACAATGCATGAATCAAAGGACAGAATGAATAACTTTAAAATTTATTTTTTTTTTATAAATAAATAAATGGAAATTTTTTAATATATAGAAATAAAATAATAAATTCATTGTACATGTGGAGCATCGGAGACACTGGCCTCTTTAGAAGTGTCTTTATAAAGTAATTTTTAAACGTATATTATTTTACTTTTATTCGTTCTATATTTTTTGACATCAGGCGTTATCAATGGAACAAATCATTCAATCAATCAGGTAGGTAACGATTGCCGAGACGGAAAAATGAGGCGCCTTCAAAGATTCTCTTGTACTTTATCACGGTCACTCACCGTAAACGAGGGCTAGAGCGAAACATTGCGAAGTTATGTGGGGGAAATACCATGACACATACTAAGCCGAGCAAAATTTTTTTGCCAAAGGCGGGACACGTGAGAACGTTTGATTTCACCATCTATTCATTTACTTCTGGCACTCAAAATAAACTAATCACTGAGATTTATCAAATCTCTAATTCGCTGATCAGCTTCACAGTACAGACGATGAGTTGCAGGGCGATCCCATCGCGGCCGTTCTGTTGGCAGGTGTAGTTAGTTGGCTGGTATTTCGTTGGTTGTTTGGTTGTTAGTTAGTATTTCGACGTTCGCAATAATCGTAATGTTATTAATTGATATATGTTGAGTTGGCTCCCGTTTCATAAAGTTGTCTCCCGGGTCGTTGCGGTAAAGCTGCTGAATGTGCTGATGTTGGAAAAAACGGTCCTCCCGATGTATAACTTCTGGTTCATGAAGTTTCAGGCACCTTCATAACCGACGTACGTCTCTTCGTCTCTCGTGTTTTCTCAGGTCTGAGTTTCATGTTTTTTTTGGACGCACTATTAACAGAATCGCGGAGCACACGTAGTTTGTTTTTGTTGATTGTTGTTGGTCTTACGTTTTAGTCACAATCCTATCAATAAAGTCGCTTCCGTTACTTCTCGAAGATGCCAGCGCATGGCCGTGGTCGTAACCAATGCCAGATTGTGCTTTCGTGACAAAATACCTCTGAAAGCATTAATTGTGCCTATTTTGGATCCATAAATGCACTAAACCGCGCAAGGATTGGCCCATGCTCCTCATTTCCTTAGACATCGGTTACTTCTGCAGTATCTGTGCAATGTACCTCGCGAAAATTTCTTCAGGGTTCGGCGCAACAAACTATAGCTACAATTGCGCTGCACACTACCGCCCTACACGCAATAATGTTGCTGGCCCCTTATTCTTTACAGCCTCTTGACACCAGCATTCTTGCTTTTATTAAAGTTAAATCTTGAGTAATTTATTTATGTACCTTCAAACCTTTCTGTATTCTACACTTATTACAGACACACCAGCTTTTTTCTTCTTTTTTTTCTGCTAATGCTTCGAAATATTTTCTTCAACCGAATCGATGGGAGATATATTTTAGATGGAACAGTTAAAATAAATGCTTGTGATGACGTTCATATTATTAATTTGCTATTATTTCAGATGGCATTGTGAAAATATCAAACGTGTTAAGTTTTTCAAGATTCTCGTTCTCGGTAGTTTATTACTTTTTCTGTTTACTAGAAATTATATTAATTTGAGAGACCAAAAAATATTTCTATTGCCCAAAATCTGAAATAACTGGTTATCTAAGCGATCCAATAATAATCTGAAATGACTTATTTGTATCGTTCATCTTCATAGCATTTGGAGGCGGGTCCGGCGCTGTAACGTTCAGTGTTATAAAGGCCGAGCGTGGAGTTCTTGAATTGATCTCCTGCATCAGTGAGGGCCTTCTGCACAGAGGTGAGTTGCAAATTATTATTACAAGCTAAAGATTTCTGAAGAATTATTGTATTCATTTGGAATTTGAGGCTAAACAGTGTGTTATGAAAATAACTGTCAAATATATTTTATATGTTTTGCAATATATATATAACAGCAGCATACCTTTTCAAAGTTTCAACATTTTATTTTACAGAGCATCGGCAAGTTCTGATCTCCACGACGTTGCTCCGCTCAATGATGACCGCTGGTCTCAGTTTGCACTCAGCGGCCGGGGATCCACTGAACCTGAATGTGGGGCTCCGTGAGGTTTTACGATCAGGTAGTGGGGCTACAGCGAGTCCACGACAATGTATTTTACTACGTTTTTCTTAGCTCGCTTTCGTGTCTGTCTGTCTGTGATGATCAAATCTTGCAATCGATATTTCACCAACTTTCCCACTAGCTAGCGTTTTGAAACTTTTAGGGAAGCTCAGCTCCCGATAACAATACAGTTATCAATAATTTGTTGCACGTTTCCAGGCGTATATACTATATATAGTTTATATATAGTAAGACGTGCGGCCGCTCACGTTATAGACGAGCAGTCGCTGACGTTGCGTATCATCGATACGTACGTCAAGTTAAGTAAATTGGCTCGCAACAACGTTTTTCATGTGTAACAACGGACTAAAAAGTAGAAAATAAAATACATAAAAATAACTTTTTTAAAAAACTACGTTTTTTTCTTGTGGACTAGAAGTAGAATATAAAGTATGGCCCGCCCCAAAAAACGTGTGTCGGGCTGTACGTTCACCATCAAATTTCCAAAATTCGTGTGTTGTGTGCTTTTCGCTTTAATCATAAATCTGCCCGACACACGTTTTTTGGGGCGGGCCATAATTTATATTCTACTTCTAGTCCACAAGAAAAAAACGTAGTTTTTTAAAAAAGTTATTTTTATGTATTTTATTTGAAGCAATATTTCAACTACCAATGTTAATATTGTACGTGGGCGCATTTTGCCTGGTCACTATCATTAATGGAGGAAACATTTATTTCTCCTATCCCAATGATTGTTTTACGGCTCTAAAAAAATACCAAGTCGATTATCTTCCCACCATCGCCACCGTCATTGTTGTACTACACAGACCCTGAATTTATTCATTCAGTTCCTATTTTATCTTTACCGTGTGAACGATGAACATCGTTCACTAATATTCATTGCTCGGTTGATGCGATCATTTATTCTCATGTGCATTTATGTCCTTTTGGCGAAATTATTTTGTTGCGTCTGGCGAAGCTGCCCCAGTGACACTAGAGTCAGACCTTAATGCAGTGGGAGCTACGTAGTGCGTGGTCACGTCTGTGTGACTGTGAGTTGAGAGGTCAGTCGAGTCCCGCCAGCCCTACAGTGAGGTTTTAGCCTTAACTAACCTCGCTTCGTTGCTCCACTAGCGATCTTGTGCCCCAACGCTAGTTGTTGTGGCTGTGTTCTAAAAGTTTCGTCTAGTAGTGTGATGTCTCTCGTGCTTGTTGTACTATTTTATTCAACGTGTTGCTTTTAAGCGTTCTTTACTGAAATAAAAGTCAAGTTTTATTCGTGTTAACCGAAGATTTAATTAACGGAATCCCAGAGCAATTGAACTTTTAGCAAAGTCGTCGTATTTTAACAAGATAGTTGCCTGCGTTTGGCAGAGAGGCTCGAGACATTCTGACAAGATAAAAGGTTGCGGCGAACGTCCGGTGACAACCGCATTACCCTGTACAGCAGCCCGGTATAGGGCATACTTCAATGCATCATTTTCAACTTAGCCCTTCACGCGCTCCAGAAGTTGTAAGTGTTCTATACTCTGATCGACGTCTTATGTACTCTGGAAATGATGCCAAAAATGCGCTCGCTAAAAGTCCAATAACTACAGGAAACCCATTTATGGGGCAATGCAACTTTTCTTTCATACATGAGTAAGAAAATCATTAACATATGAAAAAGATAAATTTTGAGTTTTGGGGGTAATGGTTTCCCTTTACGAGAGTTTTAGCTTATTAATTAGATAGTTTAGAGTTCAGGGAATTCCAATTGATTGTTTTCGTGACAGCAAATTGCGTCATTCTCTATTGCCCTTGAATTCAGTTAATTTATGAACACTAAATAGCATTGATTTTTTAAAGAAAATTGACCACTTAACATAAGAATAATTTTTTAAATCCATTGATTACAGTACAAAAGATTCAATTCCTTTGCACTGGCCTTAAACATCTGATCGAATTAACGACAGTTATTCTACTGCTTTATGAATAATAACTTGTTTCAAATTCGGTAGGTAGTGCAAAATTTAATTAAGGTCGTTCAAGTTGACTCTCAACGGCTCGACCTGTTGTCCTCGTAAAAACCTTTCATAAAAGTTTGGTTGCAGACTTATTAATAGGGCATTTATCCTGCTGGTGTCCGCAGGCAAATTTAACGATAAGTGACTGAATTAAAAAAAGTTATTTCACTCCACTTTACTCCACAGTCCATCTGTTGGAGCATGGCATGTTGAGTGAGCTATTGCCTTGATAGATTATGGTATGTGATAAGCAAGTGATACATGAAGGAAAAAACTCATCATCGTATTATATATAGGATTCATATCCGCTGATCAATCGCAATAGTCAACAGATCACTTCCAGGCATTTATGTTGAATTTCAATTGTTCCTTCCAACTGAATATTCAGTTTGATCGCTTGGCAATACCAAAACAGGGCGTTGGATTTCTATTTGTAAGAATAAAATACACTAAACAACATAACAATTCGAAAATTAATTCTTCAAAAGTTGTTTTTGAGATGAGGATTGAGAGTGTATTGTAAAGAATAACATAGCTGCTGGGGTTTCAATTTTTTTAGTATAGGGTAGTCTTTTCAATTGCTTTACATTCCATTACATTCATATGATAATTTAGTTTATAATAAGTTGGAATCGGTTATTATAGTTGCATGTTGGAGATTTTTTCTCTCAAAATTTGTGTCATAACCAGAATTTAAAATTATTTAGTTGTATACAAATAGTATATTTTATCGGATATAGCAAACTCTTATTTTGAGTTTGTTCAACTTTTCCAGGGAAGAAAATGCAGGATATGAAAGCTTGCATTTTAGTGACTGACATGACACGACACAACAAGCGACAATAAAAATGTAATAACAGCAAATGATTTGTTCATTGTTTATTCTAATTTGAATGGTGAACTGCGATAAAAAAAAATTTTTGGAATAATCTAGCGGTGCGTCCTTTACCGTAAAATGTTTAAAAATGGGTAAAAATTAAATAGCATTACATTGGTAATATGTGTGCAAACGCGAAAAGAATGGGCAAACTACTTCCCATGGTGAAATGCAATCAGTTGTCTAAAAAAATTTCAAGGCTCGGTCAATGTATAAGATAATAGGAGAGAATTCGGCACTGTAGTATTTTGGCCGGTCTGCAAGAGCGCAATGAAATAAATTTGTCATACAGGCTGCATTTATTCAAGAAGCAGGGGCATTGAAAAAAATCTGAAACTCTCAAGTAAATAATCTTAGGCGTCCATTTTACCGTATTTTTAGAAAATATGCAGCTTCAATGCATGGGTATTTTGTAGATACATGCATATAAATAAATAAAATAATAAATAAAGCAATATTTAATTTTTTAAGAATGCCTTGAGAGCTGCAAGACATTGTCATTGTCAATGCAGCTGACATTGAGCTGCATTGACCAAGACATTGTTTACACAATGTCTTGTTTTTAATATTGCCAAAATCCTTAAGATTTACACTGAATTTGCTCGAAACAAGTCTGAAAAATATCACAACGTGACAAACTACGAAAAAACTGTAATGCATTTTACAACACAAGAAGGAAAGCTGGTGTATTGAAAAAAATGTTTTCCTCCAATGTGCGAACAAAATTGATTTTGTATGGAGGAAATTGAAAAGTAACAGACTAAACCAATTGAACAAAGCTGTACAAGACATATATGTAAATAATCTATTAATTATATGGCATAATACGATGTTATAATAATTCATATATATAAATACATACAAATTATATTATAAATAAAAGATTTTTCATATTATATTTATAAATATGTTGTAATCATTATTATTATAATTTTAGATCTCCTGATTGTACTCGAATTTTAGTGCAATGAATGAAATGATACGAATAAATTTCAAATTGAAAACTGGAGGAAGATATTAGGATTAATAGTGTAAAATTTGTTTAGAACAGAAGCAAGTATTGATCTCAATTATGAGGTTAGTTCGCTAACGCATAACTGCTTAGAATCAGAGTGAACTCAACCGCTGTTTCATTTATTTCGTAGTTTGTTGACGTTCGTCGGTCTGTGAAAAGTTTCTGTAAACTTATGTAATATATTTACAGCAGGAAAAATGCTTTTAAAAAATTATTTCCATCTTTGAAGAGTTTCACTGTACAAACCTTGGTCTAAGATCTGTCAAGGGTTAATTTTTCTCGAAGCTCGTTGTGGCACCACTCTCGTCATGCTGATGTTCCACCTTCGACGCATATATCATGAGCTGAATAAGAAGCATTTTTTTTTCGGCAATTAGCGGGTAATGTATCACTGATTGAGCAGTTTTTGCGCCTCCTATGCATGGCAGCCTGACTCAATGTGGAAATATGAATGAAACATAACCGGCCTAGAAATTCACAAATCATTCACCTGCCTAAATGATTGGCGAGACAAGTACAAAAGTATTATAATTCTCTTGATACCACTGATTAACATTTTACGAAAGCTCTGAGAAGCAAATTGCAGAATAAATTAGCATAAAAAAGAATCTATAAATATCCATTAGCTGGCCTGGTATAACCTTGAATGTGTAAAATAATTAAAGAGGTCATTGTTTTGCACCCAGTGTGCACGTTGACATATAAGATCAAAGTAATAGGTAAAAAACAGAGTCGTACGTTGACCGAACCGCAAGCACTCTTCCGTCTGTCCGCAAAAGTTGTCAGACAAGTGAACGCACCGAGTCGTCTGACCGGTTTCGTCGGCAGCGAGTCACGCCGGTTTTGTCGGCACAGAGTGTGCTTATTCGCTGGTTCTCACGTTATTATTATTTTAATAATTTATTCTCTTTGAAAACCAGTAAGAAGATATGAAACCAAAATAAATGTTTCATAAAAGTTGTCGACGAGTTTGCTCTCAAAGGAGAATCAATAAAACAAGAGAAATCTGCAGCTCCTCTTCGCTTCTGCTAACATCGCCGAGCATAAATACTGCTAGCATTTACCGGTTGCATTGTCTTTCGATGCTCGTTTAGTTTCCAGGCATGTCGATCAAGTCAAGCTTGTCCTTAAAACAGTTTAAGGCAACACAAAATAAATATAAAACAGGTTAGAG